AGCAGCGTTCGTTCCTCCTTACTTACAATCATGGAAAGTAGTCAGAGTCCAAACAAATTACAGACTCTTTGGTTAAACAGTAACATGTTATGAATAAACTTTGAGAAAGAATCTGGTTTGTTTTGGGAATAAGTATGCCTTGTCCTCAAACACCCTCACTCAGGGGAATTGTGTGGCCTTGCAGGTGAAACAGTGAAAACCTTAATAGTGACTAAATAACATAAATCAATATATGAAATAAGAGGAACTGAATTTTCTGACCACATGCAGCAAAGTTTGTGGAGATTTGAGTCTAAGCAGATTGAAAATTGAGCAATACAAACCTAAATGTCTTTTTTCACATAGAAATGTCACATATAGATTATTAATACCAGATTTTGAACACAGCTCTGAAGCTACACAGGAATCAGGAAAATGTGTAGGTTGTATTGTTTGGCTTCTCTAATGTCCCATTAGGTGTGAGTGTGTGTGAGTGGTTGTTTGTCTCTGTGTTGCGACCTTTGACCTGTTCAGAATGGACCCCGCTTCTCGCCCGTAGATGGCTGGAGATAGACACCAGCACCCTTAGTGACCCCATTTGGGATAAGCGTGTAAGAAAATGGATGTATTTTACAACTATTCCTCATTTGTGCACATTAATTATGTTTTTGATAAAAATCCTTTCACTAAAATACCATCAGAAAAATGTGTCTCAGAAAAAAAATCTTTCATTCCTTTAGAGACAGCATGAAAAGTCAGCTGAGTACAAAACATAGAGAGGAAAACAAGAAGAGAGGGACACAACCTAGAACAGATAATGGATGTCTATTCTATTAACATTTCTCTATCTGGAGAATGGGGCTGTTTATGTGTCGTCTTCTCCATTCAGAGGGGCCCCTGCCTGTCTTTGCCTAGGGCCCCAGATTTCCTAAATCCGCCCCTGTTAACATTTAGAAAAGCGGCTGGTTTGTAACGTCCTGAATTTCTTTTGACTCCGACAAGCACATGGTTGTAATACTCAAACAATCCCACAGATGGCAGCAACTCCATCATTCTCACATGTTTCATCTGCCTGAGGAAACATTTTCAAATCTTCCTCTAACGTCAAAAAACATATTTTATTTCTACATTTTTATTCATTCAGTTATCATCAAAGTACTTGTCAATACTACAGACCAAGTACGACAATTTGATCAGGGTCATCCGCCCATAATCATGTTTACTATAGGAAAAAAAACCCTGAAAAATAAGAAGAAAACATAAACAAGTCTAAATACATTATAACTGCTATTTAGTAATCTAATCCTCACATTTATCATTTTTTAAGACGCAAAAACAGTAAGCATTACTGATTTAATGAATATATCATTCTATAATTTAATTCAAAAAGCTGAAAAATTCCTTCTTTTAATCTCCTTTAGCCTTTTTCATTGATCTGGGATGAAGTTTCCTGTTGAACTAACAGACTTCTGAGAGCTGAACACTCTGACTCTTCCTGTTCAAAGGGAGTTTTTCCTCTCCACTGTCGCTACAAGCATGCTTAGTGCAGGTATTGCCTTTGAGTCAATGAGTCGATGCAATTAACCGGTTTTCCAACTGAACTGTAAAGTGCCTTGAGATGACGTGTTGTGAATTGGCGCTATAGAAATAAACTGAATTGAATTAACCTTTTTTTTTTACTTTCTGTTCTCATATTTTCTCTTTATGTCGTTTATATTCCAGCTTTTTGTGTCAAAGATGGAGAAAATATGTGTATTTTACATGTGTATATATTTGTATCTTTTTTATTTTTATCTTTATTATCTTGTGTGGATGGATGTGTATGTATATATATATATATATATATATATATATATATATATATATATATATATATATATATATATATATATATATATATAATAAAAAAAACTGTAATTGGAGCGTGTAGCAAAATTTATTTTCCTCTGGGATTATTAAAGTATTTCTGATTCTGAAAAGACCAACTATAATCCAGAAATAACCTAAGATCAGTTCAGATCTGTTGGACTCGGCTGTTATGTTTTTTTCTCATGAGGCCGATGATGTTGTGTTTAAACACAAAAAACGAACGCATCTTTCTGTTTTTTTCACTTTTTATTCTATATAAAAGATAACAGGCAGAAATCTGAAGAAAAAAAAATAACAGTAAGAATGTTAGCGGAGATCGCGAACATGATGATTTGAATAAATGAATGCAGCATGGAGGACAGCAGAGACACACTTTCCCTTTAGTAAATATTTCCTACATGTCGAAGCTAAAAGATGAGATGAAAAACATGAACAGAAGCTGATAGCTTTGGCGTTTGTCATTCTAAACTGGTTCAGCATTGCCTAGTTATGAGCTAACGGCTAACACCATGAGCTAACCCCTTACACCATGAGCAAACGACTAGTGCAATGAGCCATTGGCTTATACCATGAGCTAATGGCTTATGCCATGAGCTAAGGGCTAACGCTATCAGCTAATGGCTAATGCCATGAGCTAACGGCTAACGCCATGAGCTACCAGCTTAGGCCATGAGCTAACCACTTATACCATGAGCAAACGGCTAGTGCCATGAGCCAATGTCTTATACCATGAGCTAATGGCTTATGCTATGAGCTAAGGGCTAACGCCATGAGCTACCAGCTTAGGCCATGAGCTAACCACTTATACCATGAGCAAACGGCTAGTGCCATGAGCCAATGGCTTATACCATGAGCTAATGGCTTATGCCATAAGCTAAGGGCTAATGCTATCAGCTAATGGCTAATGCCATGAGCTAACGCCATTAGCTACCAGCTTAGGCCATGAGCTAACCACTTATGCCATGAGCAAACGGCTAGTGCTATGAGCCAATGGCTTATACCATGAGCTAATGGCTTATGCCGTGAGCTAACGGCTAACGCCATGAGCTAACAGCTAACGCCATGAGCTAACCACTTATGCCATGAGCAAATGGCTAGTGCTATGAGCCAATGGCTTATACCATGAGCTAATAGCTTATGCTATGAGCTAAGGGGTAACGCTATCAGCTAATGGCTAATGCCATGAGCTAACAGCTTACGTCATGAGTTAAATTATAAAAGCTTGGAGATATAGTCTATATCTGAATTAAGAAATATAAAACCATATCTTATGGCGTTGATTCAAATATATTATGGGGGCCTTGTAGCTACATGTTAGCATGTCACAATTTCCTGCAAGATAAAAATCAGAAGTAGCTCAGAACATTTGCGACTCCAATCGGCAAAGTTAGCATCTTTGATCTCAGACTGCAGAAACAAAACAAAGGTCCATAAAATGATACGTTTTCATATTAATGTCCGTTTTGGTTCCAGTCTGTTGTAATAAATCAATCTTTGTCAAATAGATCCACGAACAACAAGCCTGAGAAACGGGTAAAGCTGCTCTCCCATAAAATGGATCCATAAATCTACTCTTCATTACAGCAACAGCGTCTTCATCCAGATGTTTCTCCAGACCCGCCGCTACGGTTGCTTATTCAACAACTTGTTGTGGAAACCTCTCTGATATGAGGTTCATCTGTTTCATTTTCCCTTTGGGATCAAAGTATTCTTGAGTTGAAAAGATGCAAGCATGATCTCCTCATCGCTTCGCTGAGCAGGAGCGCCATCATCATTACACCACGCCGCCAAGCTACGACCTCACTGAACCGTCTAATGGAAGAAAGGACCTCCCAGCCTGAAGGGCGGGCGGCTGTGGAAGAAGCAATGTGTCGCAATGAGCTTGTCGCAGGTATGATGCAGATATTTTTGATTTATGCCCAATATTGAAGCGTGGTCTGCTCTATGTTATTCCACGCCACAACGCCAGAGGGCCAATCAGGAACTAGCAAGGATTGTGGGTTTCCATGTGTCGGTTTGACGATCTTGTTCGCCGTCTACAACCCCCCATCCAACGCCGGATGACACACACTTCACCCGCGAGTGTTTCCCAAAGACTGGCCGTGGCGCTACGTTTTGACTTCAGGTCCAAACCAACAGACCGTCGCACAGAGCTACAAACTAGCGTCCTGTACGGCGTCTGGGATAGAGTCCGAGGCGTGCCAGGCGCTGTAGACGGCACTATAGCAGGAGTTTCTGCCATTAGGTACCAAACAGGAAATACACATAGAGTAGAGCTAATAGAGAACTGACCAATCAGAGGCCTCCTGTCAGAGTGTCTGCGGAAGGGGTGGGACCTGGTTTCTGAGTATAAACTAGGCTTTAAGTCAGGCTTACACTGTACGATTTTTTTGCCCTTTTCGGGCTAATTCTCCAATCGCGGGAGAATTTTTCGAACGCGCCAACTTTGAGCCTGATGGTGCGTGGTGTAGTGTACAGAGAGCCTCTAATGACCACCATCATCAGGAATCATGGGGTTGAATGTTGAGGGCAAATCGCTCAGTGGGCAAACAAGGATTCTTCTTCTTCTTCTTCCTCTCAGATATAAACCCAGCATCATGGCGGGGGGGCAATGAGTGAAATGGAGTTCTTTCTGTCAAACTGACAGACCGTAGTAGCCATGTTAGCTCAGCCATGTCTTTGTCCAAATACGTCGTCTCCTTTTCTTTTTAGGGCTTTCAGCACAAAGTTGCCCAAATATCCAAGGCAGCGCGTTTCACTCTAGTGAGCTTCATGTTCCTCTGCTACTGGTTTGGCTTCCAGATAGACGAGTCCGAGTAGCGCCATCTCACTGCGGAGCTGAGACCCACCTGGTTTTTAGACGTAGAGTGTGAGCAGGTAGATCGCATCTGAGCGTCGGGTCGCTCAGCATGAGAACAAACATGGTGAGCTGGTAACTCACACTGTGTGACATATAGTGAGCTGTTACTGCGTGCAACGATTGAAAATATCGCACAGTGTTTGCCCGACTTAAACTGTGATCAGAGCAAAGACAAAATCTGATGCAAATCTAATCGCTCTTCTATCTCCTGCTATTTTAAACCCTTAAAACTGAACAACACCCTTGATTTTAACGCTGCCTCGTTTCAACTTTAGAGGTTTGGGTTTTTTTGACCTGATGCTAAATAAAGAAAAGATTGAAACTGCTTGTTGTTTCATGTCTGATTGGACCGGAGGACTCTGCTCAGTTTCTGTAGAGTCTGTAATCCAGCAGAACCGACGGTCTGATATTAGAAGCTTTAATATCTTCTAACCGATATTTTAATCCAGCTTCTTGGCAGCAACAAAACTTTATGAGTATTAAGTGCTAAAACGATGCTGATATAACACTGGGGCAGTGGTAGCACAGTGGTGGACCTGCTGCTCTCCTTTATTTTCCCTTCTGTTTGTTTGGACTTTTGTCTCCAGCAGGAAGTTTAAACATGAAAACAAATAAAACGTCATAAATCTGAAGCCGATCGACAAAATCCAGAAAAAAAAAAAAAAAGAAAATCTCTTTAGAGTTTGTTTTCCAGCACTTACTGATTATAGAGATGTTTGAATTTACAGCTTTTTACACCCAGAGAGGTGACACACCTGAGACTGAGATCAGCCAATCAGAGCTTAGGAGTTGGTGTTGAATCCAGAGCACTGAACAGAATCGGTTACCATGGGAACACAGTAAAAAAAAATAACCCGCCATGATCGCCACTGCAGCACTTGTGGTGTGGTTGCCATGGTTACATTGTTATCAATACGCTGAAAATTTGGGACCGCGTCAGGGATTAAAAATTGTTCAATCGATTTCTTTGAAACTTTTGACTCTCCCTCCTGTAAGCCAATCAGAGACCAGCTTGTGGCGACATCATCAAAGGTCCTCGTCCATGCTGAAGCTGCTCCTCCGGCTGCTGGTCTTAGAGGCTCCACAGGACAGCAGCGGGTCGGACATCACTGCTGCTCCTCCATCTTCCTCCATCAGGAACCCCCCCAGGCTGCTCAGCTCTGTCAGCCCCACGCCGGGAAGCAGGTCCGGAGAGAAGACGGTCGGCGTATCGTGAGACTCCTCCAGGTCCATGAAGCTCAGGGACGGATTAGGCAGCAGAGGAGACAGATGAGTGTTAGGGTCCAAGGAGCTGGATGAGGAGCTTAGTGGAGTGGAGGCAGAGGTGGAGGAGGAGACGCCATTGAGGCGCGCCTGGAGCTCCAACTCCTGGACAAAAGAAAATATATTCAACAATAATTTTAACCTCACCTTGCTGCTTGGACCCCTGTCCCTTATTTCTACACCATCAGCCCCCTCCTCTCACCTGGACACCATCAGCCCCCTCCCCTCACCTGGACACCATCAGCCCCCTCCCCTCACCTGGACACCATCAGCCCCCTCCTCTCACCTGGACACCATCAGCCCCCTCCTCTCACCTGGACACCATCAGCCCCCTCCTCTCACCTGGACACCATCAGCCCCCTCCTCTCACCTGGACACCATCAGCCCCCTCCCCTCACCTGGACACCATCAGCCCCCTCCTCTCACCTGGACACCATCAGCCCCCTCCTCTCACCTGGACACCATCAGCCCCCTCCCCTCACCTGGACACCATCAGCCCCCTCCCCTCACCTGGACACCATCAGCCCCCTCCTCTCACCAGGACACCATCAGCCCCCTCCCCTCACCTGGACACCATCAGCCCCCTCCCCTCACCTGGACACCATCAGCCCCCTCCTCTCACCTGGACACCATCAGCCCCCTCCCCTCACCTGGACACCATCAGCCCCCTCCTCTCACCTGGACACCATCAGCCCCCTCCTCTCACCTGGACACCATCAGCCCCCTCCTCTCACCTGGACACCATCAGCCCCCTCCTCTCACCTGGACACCATCAGCCCCCTCCCCTCACCTGGACACCATCAGCCCCCTCCCCTCACCTGGACACCATCAGCCCCCTCCCCTCACCTGGACACCATCAGCCCCCTCCTCTCACCTGGACACCATCAGCCCCCTCCTCTCACCTGGACACCATCAGCCCCCTCCCCTCACCTGGACACCATCAGCCCCCTCCCCTCACCTGGACACCATCAGCCCCCTCCTCTCACCTGGACACCATCAGCCCCCTCCTCTCACCTGGACACCATCAGCCCCCTCCTCTCACCTGGACACCATCAGCCCCCTCCTCTCACCTGGACACCATCAGCCCCCTCCTCTCACCTGGACACCATCAGCCCCCTCCTCTCACCTGGACACCATCAGCCCCCTCCTCTCACCTGGACACCATCAGCCCCCTCCCCTCACCTGGACACCATCAGCCCCCTCCCCTCACCTGGACACCATCAGCCCCCACCTCTCACCTGGACACCATCAGCCCCCTCCTCTCACCTGGACACCATCAGCCCCCTCCTCTCACCTGGACACCATCAGCCCCCTCCCCTCACCTGGACACCATCAGCCCCCTCCTCTCACCTGGACACCATCAGCCCCCTCCCCTCACCTGGACACCATCAGCCCCCTCCTCTCACCTGGACACCATCAGCCCCCTCCTCTCACCTGGACACCATCAGCCCCCTCCTCTCACCTGGACACCATCAGCCCCCTCCCCTCACCTGGACACCATCAGCCCCCTCCTCTCACCTGGACACCATCAGCCCCCTCCCCTCACCTGTTCACCAACAGGTGATGTCTCCACACCTGGACACTATTAGTCCCAGTCCCCTAAACTGTTCATCATCATGTACTGTCCCCTCTACCAGACACTTAGGTCCCGTCCTCTCGACTGTTCATTAACAAGCCTTGTCCCCTCACCTGGACACTATTAGGTCACGTCCCCTCACCAGGACCCTATTAATCCCAATCTATTCACCTGTTCAGCATCAGGTACTGTCCCTTCTACACTGCACTTAGGCCCCGTCCCCTCACCTGTTCACCAACAAACCCTGTCCCCTCACCTGTCTCATCTCCTCACATGGACACTATCAGGCCGTGTCCCCTCTTTCGTTCACCAATAGATTCTCTCCCCTCACCTGGACATTATCAGACCCCGTCCTCTCACCTGGACATTATCAGACCCCGTCCTCTCACCTGGACATCATCAGACCCTGTCCTTTCACCTGGGCATTATCAGACCCTGTCCTCTCACCTGGACATCATCAGACCCTGTCCTCTCACCTGGACATTATCAGACCCCCTCTCACCTGGACATCATCAGACCCTGTCCTTTCACCTGGGCATTATCAGACCCTGTCCTCTCACCTGGGCATTATCAGACCCCCTCTCACCTGGGCATTATCAGACCCCGCCCTCTCACCTGGACATTATCAGACCCCGTCCTCTCACCTGGACATCATCAGACCCTGTCCTTTCACCTGGACATTATCAGACCCTGTCCTCTCACCTGGGCATTATCAGACCCTGTCCTCTCAACTGGACATCATCAGACCCTGTCCTCTCACCTGGACATTATCAGACCCTGTCCTCTCACCTGGACACTATCAGACCCCGTCCTCTCACCTGGACATTATCAGACCCCGTCCTCTCACCTGGACACTATCAGACCCTGTCCTCTCACCTGGACATTATCAGACCCTGTCCTCTCACCTGGACACTATCAGACCCTGTCCTCTCACCTGGACATTATCAGACCCTGTCCTCTCACCTGGACACTATCAGACCCCGTCCTCTCACCTGGACATTATCAGACCCCGTCCTCTCACCTGGACACTATCAGACCCCGTCCTCTCACCTGGACATTATCAGACCCCGTCCTCTCACCTGGACACTATCAGACCCTGTCCTCTCACCTGGACATTATCAGACCCTGTCCTCTCACCTGGACATTATCAGACCCTGTCCTCTCACCTGGACATTATCAGACCCCGTCCTCTCACCTGGACACTATCAGACCCTGTCCTCTCACCTGGACATTATCAGACCCTGTCCTCTCACCTGGACATTGCCAGACCCTGTCCTCTCACCTGGACATTATCAGACCCCGTCCTCTCACCTGGACACTATCAGACCCCGTCCTCTCACCTGGACATTATCAGACCCCGTCCTCTCACCTGGACATTATCAGACCCCGTCTTCTCACCTGGACATTATCAGACCCTGTCCTCTCACCTGGGCATTATCAGACCCTGTCGTCTCACCTGGACATTGTCAGACCCCGTCCTCTCACCTGGACATTATCAGACCCTGTCCTCTCACCTGGACATTATCAGACCCTGTCCTTTCACCACGACATTATCAGACCCTGTCCTTTCACCTGGACATTGCCAGACCCCGTCCTCTCACCTGGACATTATCAGACCCTGTCCTCTCACCTGGACATTATCAGACCCTGTCCTTTCACCACGACATTATCAGACCCTGTCCTCTCACCTGGACATTGCCAGACCCTGTCCTCTCACCTGGACATTATCAGACCCTGTCCTTTCACCACGACATTATCAGACCCTGTCCTCTCACCTGGACATTGCCAGACCCTGTCCTCTCACCTGGACATTATCAGACCCTGTCCTCTCACCTGGACACTATCAGACCCCGTCCTCTCACATGGACATTATCAGACCCCGTCCTCTCACCTGGGCATTATCAGACCCTGTCCTCTCACCTGGACATTGTCAGACCCCGTCCTCTCACATGGACATTATCAGACCCCGTCCTCTCACCTGGGCATTATCAGACCCCGCCCTCTCACCTGGACATTATCAGACCCCGCCCTCTCACCTGGACATTATCAGACCCTGTCCTCTCACCTGGACATCATCAGACCCTGTCCTTTCACCTGGACATTATCAGACCCTGTCCTCTCACCTGGGCATTATCAGACCCTGTCCTCTCAACTGGACATCATCAGACCCTGTCCTCTCACCTGGACATTATCAGACCCCGTCCTCTCACCTGGACATCATCAGACCCTGTCCTCTCACCTGGGCATTATCAGACCCTGTCCTCTCACCTGGACATTATCAGACCCTGTCCTCTCACCTGGACACTATCAGACCCTGTCCTCTCACCTGGACATTATCAGACCCTGTCCTCTCACCTGGACACTATCAGACCCCGTCCTCTCACCTGGACATTATCAGACCCCGTCCTCTCACCTGGACACTATCAGACCCTGTCCTCTCACCTGGACATTATCAGACCCTGTCCTCTCACCTGGACACTATCAGACCCTGTCCTCTCACCTGGACATTATCAGACCCTGTCCTCTCACCTGGACACTATCAGACCCCGTCCTCTCACCTGGACATTATCAGACCCCGTCCTCTCACCTGGACACTATCAGACCCTGTCCTCTCACCTGGACATTATCAGACCCCGTCCTCTCACCTGGACGCTATCAGACCCTGTCCTCTCACCTGGACATTATCAGACCCTGTCCTCTCACCTGGACATTATCAGACCCTGTCCTCTCACCTGGACATTATCAGACCCCGTCCTCTCACCTGGACACTATCAGACCCTGTCCTCTCACCTGGACATTATCAGACCCTGTCCTCTCACCTGGACATTGCCAGACCCTGTCCTCTCACCTGGACATTATCAGACCCCGTCCTCTCACCTGGACACTATCAGACCCCGTCCTCTCACCTGGACATTATCAGACCCCGTCCTCTCACCTGGACATTATCAGACCCCGTCTTCTCACCTGGACATTATCAGACCCTGTCCTCTCACCTGGGCATTATCAGACCCTGTCCTCTCACCTGGACATTGTCAGACCCCGTCCTCTCACCTGGACATTATCAGACCCCGTCCTCTCACCTGGACATTATCAGACCCTGTCCTTTCACCACGACATTATCAGACCCTGTCCTTTCACCTGGACATTGCCAGACCCCGTCCTCTCACCTGGACATTATCAGACCCTGTCCTCTCACCTGGACATTATCAGACCCTGTCCTTTCACCACGACATTATCAGACCCTGTCCTCTCACCTGGACATTGCCAGACCCTGTCCTCTCACCTGGACATTATCAGACCCTGTCCTTTCACCACGACATTATCAGACCCTGTCCTCTCACCTGGACATTGCCAGACCCTGTCCTCTCACCTGGACATTATCAGACCCTGTCCTCTCACCTGGACACTATCAGACCCCGTCCTCTCACATGGACATTATCAGACCCCGTCCTCTCACCTGGGCATTATCAGACCCTGTCCTCTCACCTGGACATTGTCAGACCCCGTCCTCTCACCTGGACATTATCAGACTCTGTCCTCTGACCTGGACACTCTTGGGTCCTATTTTCTCACCTGGATGCGCAGCAGCAGGGAGCGGTTTGCGCTCTCTAGTCTCCTCTGTCTCTCCTCCATCTCTCGGGCCCTCTGCTGTTCTTTCTGCAGTTTAAGGATGTAATCCACTGACGCCTTCAGGATGGTTCCTTTGTTCCACCTTGTTTCCCTGAATGACCAATAACAGAGCACACCTCCTTAAGGTTCCTCTGGTGGTATAAGCGTTAGGAATCAGTGAATGAAATGTCTAATCATTACTAACGGGTCTGAGGATTTGGGAATCAGTGCTCCGAGCTCTTTGATGCGGTCATTGATGTTGAAGCGTCGCCTCCTCTCAACTGGAAAACACAACAAAATGGTTTTAATGGGATGATGTGAACATCTGCTGTAGAGACAGTGAGACTGACACTGAGATGGGACAGAACTACGGTCAGTACCCTTCATTCAGCGTTCTTCTAGTCAGCATTTGTCCTGCACAGACAAAAGTGTCCTCAGACACAAACCCATTTTATCATATCTACAGCTGGTGTCTCCACTCCCTAGCCAATCAGTGACCAGCTCTCTTCTGATGTCACGACTGTAATTGTATCTAAGCAGGTACTGCATGTAGTACCGGTTCTATGAAAGGTTACTGCTTGGAAGGGATCCAGTCCCAGCTGGTCCTGATGGAAAAGGACCAGCAGTGTCACTTCCTGTTTCAACACCAAATCCTGTCCTGTGATTGGCCGAGTGCTGCAGCAGTACTCACTCAAGTTATGATTGTCCTTCTTCTGCCGCTCCTTCAGCAGAGCTTTGGTTTCCACATCTACAGCAGAAGAAAAAGAAGAAGAAGGAGAGAGGTCAAAGACGGGCGATGGTCCTCTGCTTCCTGGTCTCACTCTCTGCTGGTTTGAACTAACCAGCAGGTTAGCTACAGTAACTACCGGTAGGTGGGATTTACCGGTCTGCTCCCGTTTGACTGCGTGCAGGTCGGCCGGGCAGCTGTTGCTAACGGTGATGGTGGGCGTGGCCATCCCTCCGTACATGTCCAGCATGTTCCCCGCCGTCGGCAGCTGCGACAGACCAATCAGAGGGCACCGTCAGTGATCTAACGCACAACAACCCACTGTTCCTGAACTGGAAGGTCATTTTCTCCTGAAGCTGAACCTGAAACCGGGAGCCGATCTGCACCACCATTTTGGATCAGAACCTGCTGATCCTTCTCCATTGCTCTAACCACAGTTCCTGCTTCTGCCAACAGGGGGAGCTGCTAAGCTCACAGGTGCTGATCCTCCTGGTTCCACTCAGGAGCATCAGTCCAGATGGTTCTGAAAAGGGGCTCCGCTCCATCTCCCCGCCCCTTTACACCCCACACTGTTCTACTGGGACTCTGACCTTTAAACTGGCTCTGCTGCTGGTGAAAATCTCCCGATCCGTTTCCTGCCTAAGACCGTTTGTTTTTAAAGCCTGAAGTTCTGCTGACTGAAGCATTCTTTACTGACTCAGCTGCAAAACAAGGAGCCTAGAAACACAGATTTCAGCAGTAAAACCCAAAAACTGGCAGAACCCAGAGAATCAGCGTGAGAACGAGGCTGGAGGAGAAACAGCTGCGGCTCTAAAGGCACAACAAACTGCAGCATTTACCTGGGATTTAATCCTCCTCTTCTCATGATCCGGCAGCAACACCAAAATCCTCATGTTCCCTGCAGTTTCACACACCCTAACACACACACACACACACACACACACACCTTAACGACACACACACACTCCTTAATGACACACAGAGCGCCTGAGCTGCTGCTCTTCCCCTTTCTGCTCAGACAACTGTTAAAAAATGAGGAAACAAGTCCTTTAAGTCAGAACAGAAAACTCCCACAGCTTCATTATCTCCCTCACACACATGCTTAGGCTCCGCCCACTGAAAGAAGGAAGTGTGGAAAGCTGAAGTGATACTGTCTCATCCAGCTGCTAGCTGTTGACCACCTGAAGCTAACAGAGTGACCCCCCCCCCTCCCCGTGTTTTACCGTGCTGGTGAGCTGCAGGCCAGAATCAATCAATGTGAGGAAATCCTCATTCAGGCTCGACTCCAAACTGATGATGTCATCGATGACGGTCTCCTCCATCTGGATCAGAACCACAGAAATACTGGTTATCCGCAAGAAAGAGGGATGATGGATGGATGGATGGATTATTGATGGATGGATTATTGATGGATGGATTATTGATGGATGGATTATTGATGGATGGATGGATTATTGATGGATGGATTATTGATGGATGGATGGATGGATTATTGATGGATGGATTATTGATGGATGGATTATTGATGGATGGATTATTGATGGAAGGATTATTGATGGATGGATGGATTATGATCTGGTTTACAGTTCTGGTTGAACTGTAAAGTGCCTTGAGATGACGTGTGTTGTGAATTTGGCGCTATATAAATAAACTGAATTGAATTGAATTGAATTATTGATGGATGGATTATTGATGGATGGATGGATGGATTATTGATGGATGGATTATTGATGGATGGATTATTGATGGATGGATTATTGATGGAAGGATTATTGATGGATGGATGGATTATTGATGGATGGATGGATGGATGGATGGATTATTGATGGATGGATGGATGGATGGATTATTGATGGATGGATTATTGATGGATGGATTATTGATGGATGGATGGATTATTGATGGATGGATTATTGATGGATGGATGGATGGATTATTGATGGATGGATTATTGATGGATGGATTATTGATGGAAGGATTATTGATGGATGGATGGATTATTGATGGATGGATTATTGATGGATGGATGGATGGATTATTGATGGATGGATTATTGATGGATGGATTATTGATGGATGGATTATTGATGGAAGGATTATTGATGGATGGATGGATTATTGATGGATGGATGGATGGATGGATGGATTATTGATGGATGGATGGATTATTGATGGATGGATGGATGGATTATTGATGGATGGATGGATGGATGGATGGATGGATTATTGATGGATGGATGGATGGATGGATGGATGGATGGATTATTGATGGAAGGATTATTGATGGATGGATGGATGGATTATTGATGGATGGATTATTGATGGATGGATGGATTATTGATGGATGGATGGATGGATGGATGGATTATTGATGGATGGATGGATGGATGGATTATTGATGGATGGATGGATGGATTATTGATGGATGGATGGATGGATGGATGGATTATTGATGGATGGATGGATGGATGGATTATTGATGGATGGATGGATGGATGGATGGATGGATGGATTATTGATGGATGGATGGATGGATGGATGGATTATTGATGGATGGATGGATGGATTATTGATGGAAGGATTATTGATGGATGGATGGATGGATTATTGATGGATGGATTATTGATGGATGGATTATTGATGGAAGGATTATTGATGGATGGATTATTGATGGATGGATGGGTTATTGATGGATGGATGGATTATTGATGGATGGATTATTGATGGATGGATTATTGATGGATTATTGATGGATGGATTATTGATGGATTATTGATGGATGGATGGATGGATTATTGATGGATGGATGGATTATTGATGGATGGATTGATGGATGGATGGATGGATGGATGGATGGATTATTGATGGATGGATGGATTATTGATGGATGGATGGATTATTGATGGATGGATGGATGGATGGATGGATGGATGGATGGATGGATGGATGGATTATTGATGGATGGATGGATGGATGGATGGATGGATTATTGATGGATGAATGAATGAATGAATGAATGAATGGATGGATGGATTATTGATGAATGGATGAATGAATGAATGAATGAATGAATGAATGAATGAATGAATGGATTATTGATGAATGGATGGATGGATGGATGGATGAATGAATGAATGAATGGATGGATGGATTATTGATGAATGAATGGATGGATTATTGATGAATGGATGGATGGATGGATGAATGAATGAATGAATGAATGGATGGATGGATTATTGATGAATGGATGGATGGATTATTGATGAATGGATGGATGGATGGATGAATGAATGAATGAATGAATGAATGGATGGATGGATGGATTATTGATGGATGGATGGATTATTGATGGATGGATGAATGAATGAATGAATGAATGAATGGATGGATGGATTATTGATGGATGGATGGATGGATGAATGAATGAATGGATGGATTATTGATGGATGGATGGATGGATGGATTATTGATGGATGGATGGATGGATGGATGGATGGATGGATTATTGATGGATGGATGAATGAATGAATGAATGAATGGATGGATTATTGATGGATGGATGGATGAATGAATGAATGGATGGATGGATTATTGATGGATTAATGGATGGATGAATGAATGAATGGATGAATGAATGAATGGATGAATGAATGGATGGATGATGGATGGATGGTTGATGGATGGATGGATGGATTATTGATGGATGGATGGATTATTGATGGATTAATGGGTGGATGAATGAATGAATGAATGAATGAATGGATGGATGGATGGATGGATGGATGGATGGATGGATGAATGGATGGATTATTGATGGATGGATGGATGCATTATTGGATGGATGAATGAATGGATGGATGGATAAATGAATGGATGGATGGATGGATGGATAAATGAATGGATGGATGGATTATTGATGGATGGATTATTGATGGATGGATGGATTATTGATGGATGGATGGATGGATTATTGATGGATTGATGGATGGATGAATGAATGAATGAATGGATGGATGGATTATAAATGGATGGATGGATTATTGATGGATTGATGAATGAATGAATGGATGAATGGATGGATGGATGGATGAATGAATGAATGGATGGATGAATGGATGGTTGATGGATGGATGGATGGATTATTGATGGATGGATAGATTATTGATGGATTAATGGGTGGATGAATGAATGAATGAATGGATGAATGGATGAATGGATGGATGAATGGATGGATTATTGATGGATGGATGGATGCATTATTGGATGGATGAATGAATGGATGGATGGATAAATGAATGGATGGATGGATGGATGGATGAATGGATGGATGGATTATTGATGGATGGATGGATTATTGATGGATGGATGGATGGATTATTGATGGATTGATGGATGGATGAATGAATGAATGAATGAATGAATGAATGGATGGATGGATTATAAATGGATGGATGGATTATTGATGGATTGATGAATGAATGAATGGATGAATGGATGGATGGATTATTGATGGATGGATTATTGATGGATTGATGAATGAATGAATGGATGGATGGATGGATTATTGATGGATGGATTATTGATGGATGGATTATTGATGAATGAATGAATGAATGAATGAATGGATGGATTGTAAATGGATGGATGGATGGATTATTGATGGATTGATGAATGAATGAATGAATGAATGAATGGATGAATGGATGGATTATTGATGGATGGATGGATGGATGGATGGATTATTGATGGATTGATGAATGAATGAATGAATGAATGAATGAATGAATGAATGGATGGATGGATTATTGATGGATGGATGGATGGATGGATGGATTATTGATGGATGGATGGATTATTGATGAATGAATGAATGGATGGATTATAAATGGATGGATGGATTATTGATGGATTGATGAATGAATGAATGGATGGATGGATGGATTATTGATGGATGGATGGATGGATTATTGATGGATGGATGGGTTATTGATGGATTAATGAATGAATGAATGAATGGAGGAATGGATGGATGAATGGATGGATTATTGATGAATGGATGGATGGATTATTGGATGGATGAATGAATGGATGGATGGATAAATGAATGGATGGATGGATGAATGGATGGATTATTGATGGATGGATTATTGATGGATGGATGGATTATTGATGGATGGATGGATGGATGGATGGATGGATGAATGAATGAATGAATGGATGGATGGATTATTGATGAATGAATGGATGGATTATTGATGAATGGATGGATGGATGGATGAATGAATGAATGAATGAATGGATGGATGGATTATTGATGAATGGATGGATGGATTATTGATGAATGGATGGATGGATGGATGGATGAATGAATGAATGAATGAATGAATGGATGGATGGATGGATTATTGATGGATGGATGGATTATTGATGGATGGATGGATGAATGAATGAATGAATGAATGAATGGATGGATGGATTATTGATGGATGGATGGATGGATGAATGAATGAATGGATGGATTATTGATGGATGGATGGATGGATGGATTATTGATGGATGGATGGATGGATGGATGGATGGATGGATTATTGATGGATGGATGAATGAATGAATGAATGAATGGATGGATTATTGATGGATGGATGGATGAATGAATGAATGGATGGATGGATTATTGATGGATTAATGGATGGATGAATGAATGAATGGATGAATGAATGGATGAATGAATGGATGGATGATGGATGGATGGATGGATGGATGGATTATTGATGGATGGATGGATTATTGATGGATTAATGGGTGGATGAATGAATGAATGAATGAATGAATGGATGAATGGATGGATGGATGGATGGATGGATGGATGGATGGATGGATGGATGGATGAATGGATGGATTATTGATGGATGGATGGATGCATTATTGGATGGATGAATGAATGGATGGATGGATAAATGAATGGATGGATGGATGGATGGATAAATGAATGGATGGATGGATTATTGATGGATGGATTATTGATGGATGGATGGATTATTGATGGATGGATGGATGGATTATTGATGGATTGATGGATGGATGAATGAATGAATGAATGGATGGATGGATTATAAATGGATGGATGGATTATTGATGGATTGATGAATGAATGAATGGATGAATGGATGGATGGATGGATGAATGAATGAATGGATGGATGAATGGATGGTTGATGGATGGATGGATGGATTATTGATGGATGGATAGATTATTGATGGATTAATGGGTGGATGAATGAATGAATGAATGGATGAATGGATGAATGGATGGATGAATGGATGGATTATTGATGGATGGATGGATGCATTATTGGATGGATGAATGAATGGATGGATGGATAAATGAATGGATGGATGGATGGATGGATGAATGGATGGATGGATTATTGATGGATGGATGGATTATTGATGGATGGATGGATGGATTATTGATGGATTGATGGATGGATGAATGAATGAATGAATGAATGAATGAATGAATGAATGGATGGATGGATTATAAATGGATGGATGGATTATTGATGGATTGATGAATGAATGAATGGATGAATGGATGGATGGATGGATTATTGATGGATGGATTATTGATGGATGGATTATTGATGGATTGATGAATGAATGAATGGATGGATGGATTATTGATGGATGGATTATTGATGGATGGATTATTGATGAATGAATGAATGAATGAATGAATGAATGAATGAATGGATGGATTGTAAATGGATGGATGGATGGATTATTGATGGATTGATGAATGAATGAATGAATGAATGGATGAATGGATGGATTATTGATGGATGGATGGATGGATGGATGGATGGATGGATGGATGGATGGATGGATGGATTATTGATGGATGAATGAATGAATGAATGGATGGATGGATTATTGATGGATGGATGGATGGATGGATGGATTATTGATGGATGGATGGATTATTGATGAATGAATGAATGGATGGATTATAAATGGATGGATGGATTATTGATGGATTGATGGATGGATTATTGATGGATGGATGGGTTATTGATGGATTAATGAATGAATGAATGAATGGAGGAATGGATGGATGAATGGATGGATTATTGATGAATGGATGGATGGATTATTGGATGGATGAATGAATGGATGGATGGATAAATGAATGGATGGATGGATGAATGGATGGATTATTGATGGATGGATTATTGATGGATGGATGGATTATTGATGGATGGATGGATGGATGGATGGATTATTGATGGATGAATGAATGAATGAATGAATGGATGGATGGATTATAAATGGATGGATGGATTATTGATGGATTGATGAATGAATGAATGGATGGATGGATTATTGATGGATGGATGGATGGATTATTGATGGATGGATTATTGATGGATGGATTATTGATGGATTGATGAATGAATGAATGAATGAATGAATGAATGAATGAATGAATGAATGAATGAATGGATGGATGGATGGATGGATTATTGATGGATGGATGGATTATTGATGGATTGATGAATGAATGAATGAATGAATGAATGAATGAATGAATGAATGAATGAATGAATGAATGAATGAATGAATGGATGGATGGATGGATTATTGATGGATGGATTATTGATGGATGGATTATTGATGGATGGATGGATTATTGATGGATGGATTATTGATGAATGAATGAATGAATGAATGAATGAATGAATGAATGAATGGATGAATGAACGAAGGAGTGCAACTGCAGTGTTTTTGCTGAACAGGAAGTCGTTTTTTTTCTTGGTCAGACGGACTGACTCAGATCCTGGAGAAGAGCAGAACTCAGCAGAACTCAGCAGAACTCAGCCGGACAGGAAGCAGCATCAGCTCTAACAGGAAGCAGCATCAGCTCTAACTGCTTCCTGTCTTCCTGCTGGCCGATCAGAACCGGCCGAGGAGCTAAGCAGAACCTGCTGCTGTCACGACCCAATTCTAGCGGTTACCTCTTGCTTTGGGCTACTCTCATTGGACAGCTCGATAGCGGAGTCCTGTTTGGGGGAGGGGCTTGGCTGCACGGCTGGCTGCTGATTGGCTGTCATAGTATTGGACAGGTACTGTCGGACCTGCTGCCTCTGAGCCTGCTGGATGTGGTACCTGGTGGGGTTCTCCAGGTGGGTTTGCACCTGCCAGACACACAGTGGGAGGAGCTAAGAGTGACACCAAGGTTTAATTGTTCTCCATTCATGTGTAGCATGGGACGTCCCGCACCTTCAGCACCTCCACAGGAACCTGAGCAGGCGTACAGGAAGTGGTCACAGTCAGGCTAATAGGGGAGGAGGTGTCAATGGAGCGCTGCTGCTGCTGCGCCTCCTTCTGCTCCTCCTCCAGAGCCTGCTGACGCATAAGCCCCTGACGCAACAGAACCCTGCAGGAGCAGAAAGAAGAGGAGCAGGTTACCACAGCTCCCCCCACAGGACAACCAGGGAAAAACCTCAGAAGAAAAAGCGCTTCTGCTGACCTTGATGACATCACTGACGGGAGTGAGGATGAAGCTGAGGATGAGGGGGAGGCTGCCGAGGAGCTGAAAGGAGAGACAGAGGGAGTTCATCCTGTTTTTCATTTAATAATCTCTGTTCTAAGCAATCTGTCCTGCTCAAGGACGCAGAAGGGCTGAACACAGCCTCTGAGTACGATTACAACGCTACGCTAACGTTTCTTTGTTAGAATAATCTTATCCGTTTTTCAGGGCTACTAGAAACGGTCTATGACTATGACCTGGATGAATCTTCAGCAGCATAACTGATCATTTGTTTGCAGGAACTAGTCTGTGTCAGATTAAGGTGATTAAGAGGAAATAGTTTGTTCCTGGTGACTGTTTTTTTTTTTTTTTTTTGCAGGAAATAATTTGTAATTAGTCGGCTGCTTGCAGAAATTAGTCTGACCCAATGAACTAGTCTGTGCTTGGCCAGAGGTTTTCAGGAATTAGTCGGTACCTGGAGGCTTCAATGTTCAATCTGAGGTACCTGATGTTGACTGGCTGACTCTTGATCTGGTAGAAGGTATCGCTGTCCGTAGGAATCAAACCGTCAACCTCGATGTCCGCCACGATCCCAGACTCCATCCTGAAATATGGAGAATCAACCAATCAGAAGCCGGCATGAGAAACTCAACCAATCACAGCTGACCGAGCTACGGTTCTTCGCTTTTAGCGAAGATGATAGTTCCGCCCCCTCCGTGAGTTTGACCAGTTGTGCTTTGGTGGATCCCACAGCAGCCTGAGCTTTTTGGGGACATTTTATTGATCCTCGATTAAAAGCAGGAATTAGGAAAGGAGCCATTTAAAAACCGCCTAACATCTGATGATGAGCGGTTCACTAAATAAACCTGGTTTGTTTTTAGTTTCTGTTCTTAAACTCAGGTCCAATTAATGCACGTTCTATAGAATGAAGAGAGAACCGGTCAGGACACATGAAGTAGCCTAAATGATCGTAAATATCAACACATCCTGACCCGATCCAAAGACATTCAGCAACAAACGGACAAGAGTCTCTGACATTCTTCTATCAGCCTCTAAGAGCTCCACCAGGACTCATCCAGGAGGTCCTAGAAGAACCCAGAGCTACGGCTAAAGTCCTCAGATAAGTACAGTTTAAGCTATAGCTGCGAGCAACGATTGAAAATATCATGCAGTGTTTGTCCGACTTTAGCAATGTACAAAAAACTATTTAAAAAACGATTTAATATCAAATCTGACGTCTTACGCCTGTCTATAGACTATAGGTATGCTGGTCTGACAGAACAGAGTTTGAGCCCCACTCCCACAGACTGCCACTCTGGGTCCCTGAGCAAAGACCCTTAACCCCAGTCTGCTCTCTGGGCGCCGCACAATGGCAGCCCACTGCTCCCCAAGGGGAAGGGTTAAATGCAGAGAATGAATTTCGCTGCTCTGTACTCGTGACAGTGGAATAACAATAAAAAAGGCTGAAATTAAAGAGATCCCTGAACTTCTGGGAGATTATTCAGCTGATATTCAGGTCCAGACTCCCGATCTGATCCATAAAGTCATAGGGAAGCGGCTGTTCCAACCGAATTCTCCTGAGTGTTGCCCGACTTTACACGAGTGAATAAAGTGAATGTGATTGGTCGATTATCAAGGGGGCGGGATTGTTGTGGAGGAAGGTTCGCAAACATTTTTGGTTGTGGTCGGTTTGACAGAAGCATCTTGCTAACCAGTTAGCATCTTAGTGCTAGCAGGTTCCCAATGGGAAATTCCATTGGGACCAAGTAGCACTAAATTGGTGACTTAGAAACGACGCTGTCAAGGAACGCTATGGACAGCGGAAACATGCAAGAGGAGGAGAGTTTAGTGTCGGAGGTCGTGGATGAGTCTCCTCCGTCATCCATTTTTTATTTAGAGGAGGAAAGCGGGGACGAAGATGTTGTGGAAGAGGACGCCAGGGCGGCAGAAGCTTGGTTTGGTGTAGAAGACTTCCAGCCGTACATGTTTGAGCCCTTGCCTTGCAACGCTGCCAGTTCTGTTAGCTCTACGCCTGCTGAAGACACAGACGTCCATCCCCGTGAACACTGGGACGCAACTCAATGGGAAAGGAAAGGATTCTGATTTCAACCGTTGCGTATATTAGCTGCGACACATGAATCAAGATGCTATGACCGAAAACATTTGATTGACAGATGACCGTTGATATATGATTGGCCGAATTTAGGTGTTCAGGCTGACGTAGAACTAACTGGCCTGCAGAAGATAACGGAAAGATTTTAGGACAGGATTTTTTTTTTAAAGAAATTTTCTAAATTTTGGGACAATATCATCTGATAAAGAGAACATTTATACCAGAATGATTGACATTTAAATACGACTTTAATAAGAGGTTCTGGTCACCTGAGCTCATTGGAACCAGAGCAGAAGGTTCCACTGGACTGGACCCAGAACCAGCTGGTTTAAAGGGTCTCAGGTTCTGATTCGAACCGGTTCTGGAAGGCCTTCAAAGCTGGTAGGACAGGAGGGATGAAGAGCTCAGTCACTTCCCACCGGTCCCTCTGATCCACACCCTGGACCCCCCCATCCCACCCCACAGTCTGCTTGTTTGTTTCTACTTTTGCTTACTGTCTCTGTTTTCCCAGAAAGCTGAACAGATCCAGTCTTGTTGAAACCATGACCCCCCCCCAGCTTCCCACAGCTGTATCCAAAACAAGCCTCACATCCGTTTCCCACATCACGCCATAATCCACCAATCAGGGCCCGCTTCCCAGGGAGGACAGGCAAACGCTTCACAGCTCCAGAACATCTGAGGTGGCGTCAAAGCAAAAGCCATGAAGGCTTTGCTTCTGAGGAGGAAGAGGAGAAAAAAAGAGGAAGAGGGGATGAAGATGGAGGAGTTGGCTGCTCCCCCCTGGGAAAGGAAAGAGGGAGATTAGTGCTTGATGAGTCATGCAGAGGGAGGTTCAGGGGTCAAAAGTCAAAAAGAAAAACAACAACAACCTGCCACCATCATCATCATCTTCATCAGTGTGCAGCTTCAGCATTCCAGTCTGGCAAATATTAACCTTAACCCCTGTCCTGCCCTCCGCTGCTCCTTCACACCAAACTCCATTCAGAAATCCGCTTATTTAAGCTTCACTTTAATCATCCTCCCATGAGATCATTTAAACCTTAAACTAAAGAAACACGGTTTTATAACAACAGTTCCAAAACAGAAAAACCATGTAACGCCAAGCCGAACCCATCAGAAGCGAACCTTTATCTGAAAAATTATGTCGGTTTAGTTTGATGCAAATACATTATTACCAAAAACTGTTGAATAAGCGAAAATGTACTGTTTTCCTAAAGGATTTCTGTAAAGGCGCAGATAACGGAAACACTTCCGGACTTACTGGACCAAGTTAAGAGTTTCGGCGGAGTCCAGGATCACGAACACGGTGTGAGGAACCGAGGCCTCCTGGTGGTCCGGTTCGGTTCGGCCCCGGTTCTGATCTACGGTCCGGATCTTATCCGAGCCGACGTCTGACATTTCTCCCGAGGAGCAATGAGCGGAGAGGGGAGATGTTCAGACGGAGAACCGGCGATCAAATCTGGAGCTCCGGAGGAGGAGGGGGGGAGAGCAGATCTGATGAAGCCCTGCTGGGAGCTGCTGAGGCTGCCGAACCGAACCGAGCCGAACCGAACCGAACCGAACAGGCAGAGCTCTGTGCGCAGAGATAAAACACACAGATCAAACAGGCACATTCCAGAGCTGCTGATCCAGATCTAGACATTCCTGACTGGTCCAGGATTTCTCCCACATGTCTTCCTTTAGCCTCAGCCCCCCTTCCGATAAATATTAAAAACAGAAGAAGACATTTAACATTTAGATTATAATAAATAAAGGGTCAAAAAACTAAATTAGGACACATCTGAAAATCTGCTCCTGTTCCTTTAAATCTGATTTTTCTATTTTACTTTCATATTTTTTTATTTTTAATAGGAAAACTTAATACAATGTTTACCTTTAGGAACTTCTCTGCCTATAATGACTGATTCAGTTTTCTTTCTGTTCATAAAATCAAACTTTTATGTCTTTGAATGATAAAAAAAACAGTTTGTTTCCACATTAAACCAATAATCTATTCTACTTTTAATATTTCTATGTCTGTGGGGCGGGGCTTGATGTTCTGATGGAACTCTGCTGAACCAATGAGATGTAGTTTTTTTTTCTGCCACCAGCCAATAGGATAGAGCGGGACTTTTGTCTCAGCGAATCGGCTGCGCGGCTGAGGCTCGATGTCCGCCATGTTGTTAGTTTTGTATGAGGGGGAATTCCCTGCCAACGTCATCCTCCTCAGCACTGATTGGTTGGGATGAGACTTGCTGCGCTTCGACCAATCAGAGGCCCGATACAGGCTTTCTTTTTTTTTTTATCTTCATTGGAGATTTTTTTTGTACTACAAGAAATAAGTACAATTTCCAATGAAAAATCGCCTGGGGTTTTATCAAAAATAGTAATAATAAATAAAATATAACTGATTAAACATAAAAATAGTAAAATTATTGAATAAAGCTAGACATAGGAGCATATAAATGGATTACATAAATATTTTGAATTTAGAGCATAGAGATAAAGTTTTAACAGCCTTTCTGTTATTGGAGGAGGATAGTGTGGAAAATTAAGTTGTTGCTTCCTTTAAGAAAGAGATAAATGAGGGTTTGGTCATGATAATTTTACATTTATGGATATAAAATTTGGCCAACAGAAGCAAACTATTACATAAAAAGAAAAAATATAGGAGGAAATCCAAACGGAGAAGCGGATCGTTGTTACTGTGCCAATGAGAAGCTGATGGGGTCTGCATTCAGGACCTCTGGAGGTCTCTCACATCCAAACAGATTAACAGCCTGTGGGAAACATCTGGATCATCTGCTGAGGAATGGAAGTTCCTGCTGAGAACAAACCGCTTATATAAAGCTGGTGGAGACATCATTTGTTTACTGTCTGGCTCAATCCTCTGCTGCCAAAATAAAAACAATCATCTTCCAGCTTTCTGCTGCTCATGCAGCACCTCTGCACCCCTGCATGTTTATAGGTCTGTGTGTCAATGACAGGTAAAACAAACTAAATACAGCTAAATCCCAGTCTGGTGGATCCTTCTACCACTAAGTGTTTGTATAGTTTCCTAGTTCATATTTAGTTCCAGATTTAGTTTATTCCATTCAGATTTATTTTTTTCTAATGGGTGTAAACTTCAGTTAATCTGTCTGACTGGTTTAACTCACACTTGTTATTTTCTCTGAGGTTCAAATGCAGATCAGCCTTGGGTGGAAGCTGGAACATACCACTGTCCCAAAGAACTGAGGGGGGGATTTTGTTTACATTGACCTTAGTTATTTTGTCACCTTAATATTCACTTATTTGTGCTAAGTTAAAGAGTTGTTTAATTTGTTTAATATGTTTTAGTTTTGTTTGGGAGGGCCAGTAACACATTGGTGGAAAATGAGGGAATTAGACGACTTTTTACGTCCCTGATGGGTCCCTGGTGATGCTGTTTTATTAATGGAAAAGCAGAAGATGCTTAAACTTTTTTTTAATCATGGCTACGGATTGATGCTAACATGTTTGTTAGCTGTCAGAATTCTGAAATTAAAGTCAGAATTCTGACATATTTCCAATATCAAATGGTAATGATATTTAAAAAACATGTTAACCTTAATGTTAACCAGAGGGGATTTACCATTAGGCAATACTAGGCGGGGCCCCAAGTTCCTGGGGGCCCCATAAAACTCTGTTTCCATGTATGGTTAATACAACTATTCCTTATTTTTGCGCATTAATTATTTTTTTGATAAAAATCCTTTGTTTAAAATGCCATCAGAACGCTGATAATATTAAGTGTGTCTCAGCCCCCCCCCCCCCCCCCCCCCCCCCCCCTTCAGTGTCCACCATATTGGATCAGTCCATTTGCTGCACATGTTCAGAAAGGTCCAAACAGACAGCAGCAAACCATTTGAAAACAAACCATGCAAAGAGCAGTGTTGCCAACTTAGCGCTTTAGTCGCTATATTTAGCCACTTTTCAGACCCCTCTAGCACTTTGATTTCTAAAAAGCTCCTAGCGCCAAATCTAGAGACTTTTTTCTGCTACTGGAGACTTTGGAGACAACATCTAAAAGCAGCGAACTCTGCTCTCCAGAGCGAGTAGATTGGTAACCCCGCCTCCTGCTCTCCTCTATCTTGTCTGCTGTCATGATTCATGCAGCTATGATTTCATCCAAATGAAAAATGGAGAACAGATAAGCAGATCATGGCTTGTCTACAGTGAAAAGAAGGACTGGGTTATTTACTTTGGCCTTTTTGGAAACACAGGAAGGAGCAATCAGCTAAGTGAGCTTAGTGCTTGGAAAAAATCTTTCATTCCTTTAGAGACAGCATGAAAAGTCAGCTGAGTACAAAACATAGAGAGGAAAACAAGAAGAAAAGGGACAAGAAGAGAGGGACACAACCTAGAACAGATAATGGATGTCTATTCTATTAACATTTCTCTATCTGGAGAATGGGGTTGTTTGATGTGTTGTCTTCTCCATTCAAAGGGCCCCCTGCCTGTCTTTGCTTAGGGCCCCAAATTTCCTAAATCAGCCTCTGCCTGTGAGTGAAAGCAAGGTGTTACTCTTTTTTTTCTGATGTAGATTGCCCTAAACTGCTCTATCAAAACCACAGGAATCCAATTAACACATTTTCCCCGCTATAACTGCAGGGGGCGCCACCCTTTCCACAAAGGAAACACACAAAGCCATTTAATCACTTTTATTTTTTCCATTTCAACCTCATTGACTTTATTTCACAGAGGTGCATGATTGGAAACAGACAGTGACATCATGGAAGGCAGTGGCCGGCCACTAACCGAAAAAACCTGCAATCAATCAATCAATTCATTTTACCATATCAAACATACACATTTTTGCAAGAAGACAGATTCACAGGCAGGGAATATATCATCTGCTTTTGTTAGGATCAAAAGAAAATGAACAAAACTGATGAAGGGGTAAATAACTGTTAAAGTTAAAACCAAGCTATAATTGGGAATACCTCCTTGTAACCAGTTATAACTGTGCTTAGCTAGTTTTAATTGGTTGAAAGTTGATGTACCTGATAATAATATGTGGTTATAAGTCTCCATGTAAATAACCAGCTATACCTGACATTGACCAGTTAGATTTGATGACAATTAACCACGAGTAACTCTCTGTAAAGCCACATCTGAGCAGTTCTTCTGCAAGATCTAACTGACTTGTGTTTAAAAAGTTAGAACTGGATCAAACCGGATGTAACTGGTTCTTAATTATCTCAAATGATTACAAGTTGTTGTTATTTTTAAGAAAACAAACAAGTTTGAGTTATTTTGTAGTGTTGCACCAATACCAGTATTGGGCGGGGCCCCCATCCAGGGCTAACATGGTGGTATCGGTGTCAACGAGTTCTAACAAATAAGGCACCGATACCATAAAATACCGTAAAAATATATACAAAAAACATGGAAAAAATTATCTCTGGGTCCGTCAAACCAGTAAGGACAAGTAAGAACTATTCAAAACTATGCATCTGTACCACTTATATCCAAATAAACCAATCAGAACTGATTTGGAAGCTTAGGAGACCAACTTGTCCAAACAAGTAAAACAAAAAAATAAATAAAACCTACAACAATTAGAGCCTAAGAGAATGAGTAGAAACCTGTAAGAACCAGTTTGAAACAGTAAAAAAAAAAAAGTAAAAGGAGAATCGGTTGGAGGCAGTTAAAACTGGCAAGAACCAGTGAAAATCCAAGAACTCTGAATGTAAGAAAAAACTCGCTAACACCAGTTAGAAACCGGTTCAATTGGTGAAAACCTGTGAAAACCAGTTAGAAAATGTAACAGCTGTAAGAAGAAGAAACCATTTAGATACATAAAAACTGTCAGAATAATGGAAAATCTGTAGAAACATAAAAAAAAAATGCAAATATTAGTCTGAACCAATTAGAACCCGTTTGAATGAACCAATTGGTCAAACCCAGGGTGAACTAGTTTTAACCAGTCAGAACTAAACAGTATTTAAACGAACTGGTCATAACCGGTGAGATCTGGGGAGAACCAGTTATAACACTGCTAACAGAAAACCTTGCAGCCCCTAACATTCTCTTCGTACAGAAACAAACAATGCTAACACATGCTAAAAGATCCTGTGGCCATTCCCTTCCATTTTTACTGCTCCACATGCTAAAAACACGATAAGAACATATGATGAGCACCAAAGAACCAACCAGAGAGCCAGAAATCCAGAACTAAAAGCTAGTAGCCTGTGACCCAGGTGGTTCTCAAAGCTAGCATAGCTTGGCACAATACATAGAAGCAGTGGGAAACTGTTAGCATTGAGCTAACACATTAACGTCTAAAAAAAATACAAAAAATGTAAAGAATTTTTGTTTATGAAACTAATCTGAGTTTTATCAGATGCTCTTTACCATTTAATTTACAAACAGAACCTGGAGAACATAGATAACCTTCCTTTCCATTCATTTATCTGTAATCTTATTTAGGTCTGCAAAAATGATCCACAGAACTTTGCGCTCTGGGTCTAATGTAAACGAGTGGGAGCTGTTATACCAGATGTTGGTTACAGCAAGAAAGGAAAAAATACATCGACACATTTTTATATTAGGTCTTAAAGTTTTTTGGGGATTTAAACAGTTTAACTTAATGCACCATTTTAAACATTCCGACCTGTGCATGAAACCTGGCTGAAAGGTTTTAGAACCATCAAGGTCCGCCGCTAGACCCCATCCATTACATAACTCCCCCTGTCCTGTATGTGTGAAGGACTCACATCCTTTACCGCCATGGCAACATCAGGCCTTCAAACAGAAACAACATGAAGCGTGATTTTGAACAGGCTATGCCTTAGAGCAGTGGTCTTCAACCCTGGTCCTCAAGATTTACTGTCCTGCAGGTTTTAGATGCATCCCTGCTCCAACACAGCTGAATCAAATGAATGGCTTTTTACCAAGCCTTTGTCAAACTAGTTGGAATGGGTAAATGTAGGTGACCGCAGACAGTCCCGCAGACAGGAGGCCTCTGATTGGTCAAATCTACATCCGCTCTACACTATGCATATTTCCTGTTTCGTACCTTACCAGCTTGTTCTGTTTGTATGACCGCCATCGTGAAAAACGACTGGTGAAGATGGACCAGCTAGAAGAGAGAGGTGTGCGAGAACGCTGGGACCCTTTTTCCCCGCCCTTTTTGGCCCTCATGTCCCTCCGTTGTCGTACAAACTTGCCAACATCTGACTACCTTCTAAACCTACTACACCTTCTCCAGGAACGGGACCAAAGAAAAACTCATTCCAGAGGCAAAGCTGCCAGACCCACCTCTACCTAGAGAGGAAACGTCTGTGGACTGGTGGGTTATGTACTTAGACAGCTCAGTCCAGTTTGCCATCATATTCAACCAAATTTTGCCATTAGACTATAACAACAAAGTGATGCTTGAGATCATGGTTGGTTCGGTCTGGCATTGCTCAATAGTAGCGCGAGTATGCTCGCACAATATCTGGTGGGCCAATCAAATTGTCAGGGCGGGCTTTATACGATGATGGACAGATGATCAACAGTAACGTAATCAACCACGTCACCAAAGCGCGCTTGGGTGACAACAACAATGGCTGCCGCTGGAGAGTTGAGGTGAGTAGATTCTGCTATTAGGTCTGTTCTAGAAGATATCGACAGCAAATTAATTTTAAAAGAGGAACAGAGAAACGCGATCAAGGCTCATCTTCTTATTCTAGGCGTGAAACTGCACGCTTTGAATTTTGTTGACAACAACTATGCGTCGCTTAACATACGCCACGCACTCCGTTCCTCTTATTGGTTGTAGGTCTATCCAATTGAGTGCAGAGGCATTTTTTTTCCTGGTTCGTTCGAAACACGCCCCATAATCACAGCTCTATGGAGCAGCATCAGACTCATTCTGACTAGAATTGAGTAGGACTACGTCAGGCTACATGGTTGGTGCCATTGGAAACAAATTATAAAACGAGGACAGAACATGAAGGGGAAATGGTTCTGGTAGTCCTTGATGCAGCTCTTCTGTTCTTTGGAACCGTTGTTAGCATCTAGAGTTGCTCAGTTGAGCCGTTGGAGATCACTAGCTGAAACAAATCCACCCCTTGCTTAGCAATAGACACTGCTTCAGTGGCATGCTAGATCCAAAGAGATAAAAACTTTCTATAGCTGGGTTAGAGCAAGGCAGGTTTTATATTCAGACCAGAAGAGAAACGGATGAAGACATCTCAAAAAGTGGTTCCCTGTCCGGTTGCTTAGTCAAAAAGGGGGGTTCAGTAGATTTTTTTCACATGTCCTTGAAAGGACCTGACCAAGGGGGGAAAACAAAGTCTGACCCATTTAAAGCGGACCATATGTAAAAGGTGCGGATACCCCCTTTAACAAGTTTTGCTGTGCCTACAAACGATCCGAATGGCTCTGAAAAGACCTTGATGTGAACAGAACCTTTTAGGTACCAAATTCACCTGCTCTAACAGTTACCCCCAGCTTCCACTTCCATCAAAACATTATATTTAAAATCTACTACTGACCCTGAACTTCCTGCTTGGCTCTGATTGGAGGAACAGCTAATAGTTGACCTTTGACCTTTACACTGTCACATCAGCATTAGGTTGGAATAATAAATTATATTTACAAAAGTTTTGTCACTGATCAGAAATGAACACAGCCAGACTCACGGATAGAGATACCCACAGAGAGAACCCACTGGGCAACCTTTAAAAAAACCCAAAGAGAGAACCCGCTGAGGGTAACCTTTAAGAGAACCCAAAGAGAGAACCCGCTGAGGGTAACCTTTAAGAGAACCCAAAGAGAGAACCCGCTGAGGGTAACCTTTAAGAGAACCCAAAGAGAGAACCCGCTGAGGGTAACCTTTAAGAGAACCCAAAGAGAGAACCCGCTGAGGGTAACCTTTAAGAGAACCCAAAGAGAGAACCCGCTGAGGGTAACCTTTAAGTTAACCCAAAGAGAGAACCCGCTGAGGGTAACCTTTAAGAGAACCCAAAGAGAAAACCTGCTGAGGGTAACCTTTAAGAGAACCCAAAGAGAGAACCCGCTGAGGGTAACCTTTAAGAGAACCCAAAGAGAGAACCCGCTGAGGGTAACCTTTAAGAGAACCCAAAGAGAGAACCCGCTGAGGGTAACCTTTAAGAGAACCCAAAGAGAGAACCCGCTGAGGGTAACCTTTAAGAGAACCCAAAGAGAAAACCTGCTGAGGGTAACCTTTAAGAGAACCCAAAGAGAGAACCCGCTGAGGGTAACCTTTAAGAGAACCCAAAGAGAGAACCTGCTGAGGGTAACCTTTAAAAAAACCCAAAGAGAGAACCCACTGAGGGCAACCTTTAAGTTAACCCAAAGAGAGAACCCGCTGAGGGTAACCTTTAAGAGAACCCAAAGAGAGAACCCGCTGAGGGTAACCTTTAAGAGAACCCAAAGTGAAAACCTGCTGAGGGTAACCTTTAAGAGAACCCAAAGAGAGAACCCGCTGAGGGTAACCTTTAAGAGAACCCAAAGAGAGAACCCGCTGAGGGTAACCTTTAAGAGAACCCAAAGAGAAAACCTGCTGAGGGTAACCTTTAAGAGAACCCAAAGAGAGAACCCGCTGAGGGTAACCTTTAAGAGAACCCAAAGAGAGAACCCGCTGAGGGTAACCTTTAAGAGAACCCAAAGAGAGAACCCGCTGAGGGTAACCTTTAAGAGAACCCAAAGAGAGAACCCGCTGAGGGTAACCTTTAAGAGAACCCAAAGAGAGAACCCGCTGAGGCTAACCTTTAAGAGAACCCAAAGAGAGAACCCGCTGAGGGTAACCTTTAAGAGAACCAAAGCATCTGCATTTCTTCAAAGTTTGAACAACAATAAGAATATTTAATTTTTTTTTTTTTTAAACGCTTTCTGCCAAACAAGGGAAGAGATACTGGAGCAGTATCGTCCAAACACACCAAAGTCCAATTCTGGCGGTTCTCCCGAACCGTCAGGGACTTGGTCTAAAACTCATCATCATCATCTTCATCAGTGTCCTTTTTCCTCCTCCTTCCTCAGTTCTGTGATTTTTTCTTCTGGCAGTAAACATCAGGAAGTGTCCAGCCAACCCCAGCCCTGATTGGTCCGTGCTCCGGCCAATCAGCTGCTCCCTAATGCTGGCTTAAAGCAGCTGGAGATGACATCATCACCAGCACCTGCGATGAGTAAGCGCTAAATAAAACCAAAGTTTTTACGGAATTACATCGAAGATTTGAATTTTTTAAACATTTTTATAGATTTTCTCTAATTCATAAAACTCACATTTAAAAGCTCAGATACTGAATTTTTAATTAACTTCCTTCTGCTCATGCCTCCAACATCCAATATTTAAACAGTCTTAAATTTCTTGTTAAATCTGTTGAATCAGAAGTAAAGGAAGTTAATCAAAGACCTGCAGAAAATAAAAATAAATATATATCCATACAGATAACACAGTAATAAAACCCAGCTGTACCCAAACTCACCAGTAGAGGGCAGCAAACCACGTGGGGCGTAAAGGAAGCTGGGAAACATAGTTTGAGATCAAACTGTTTCTTTTCAATAAATGTAATAAATCTAATAAAGTCTTTCTCAGGATGTTTTAAATGTTCCATACTCTGTCAAGTTCTACAGAACCTTCTGGGGTTCTGAGGGGACCAGTCGGTTCTGTATGTGCTTGACCTGCTCACACTTTCTCAGCATTGGTTGAACGGGTAATAGTTCTGTGTGGGTTCTGGTTTTTATACACATTTCTTTTTAAGAACCAGATGTTGGACCAGACCTGCAGGAATGTTGGTGAGGGCCTCCAGAACAGAACCTCTGGCGCTTAGTTTGTGCTGTTTGTCGTCATGTTGGACTTGATGTTTTGAAATGAAATTCTGTCCACCACAGGAAGTTCTGCGAGGGTCCGAAACCTCCTGTGGTTTATGAAGTTTCTGAGATGATTGCTGTGGGACCGGCGAAGCGTTCATCACTTGTTTGGTATCTGTATTAACATCCTGATAAAGGATTGGATTCTTTTGTTGGCTGAAAAAATCCTGCGCTGGACGGCCATGGATGATCCGGTCCTGCTCCTGTCCAGCAGCGATCTGAGATGGGTGGGGGGGGGGTTGTCCCCGCAGACGGCGCCACAATCACATCAGAAACCTTCAGAAGGAAGACCTAGCTCCTCTGACGAGGAATGGATCGTAGCTTTAAACTCCCGAATCCGAACAGAAAGGTTGGTTCCGTCTGGAGGTCGAACCCAGAGAGCAGCAGAACCTCACAGGCTGATTTGGGAAATGTTCTGACCGGGTACCTCTGCCAAAGGTCTGGTCTGGATCGGTTTTGGTTCCTGTGACTCTTCTGCCTTAATTCTTCATAGTTTTAATGTGTGTTGTTGTTGCTCTGAATGAGATCTTTACTCGTTTTTGTAAGATTTGGATAAATGTTCTAGATCCGTTGTGGTTCCTGTGGAAGCATTTTTTTCCTTGGCCTGTTTGCGAGATAAAATATTTTGTGTGCCTGTCCTCTGCCTAAATAGGGGTGATTGCTTAGAAGTCTTGTACCAATCTGTATGCTGGGGTTAAGTTATGGAGTTAAGCGTGGGGATGACAGAAAGCAGTTGCCTCCCGACTCTAGACAAGGATGAAGGAAAGGTCATGAGAGATTAGAATGAGTTCAATCAGCGTCCTTCATGCCGTGAACAGGAGACCAGTTCTGAGTTTATCTGGCTGTTTTTTTTTCTTGGGAATAACCAAATGTTCGTGTGTGAGAAAGTTCTTTGAGTAGGGGTGGGATAGTTCCCACTAGGAGAATGTGTGTGTTTAGGGAATTGCTGGATAAATGTTGAGCTTTGCCCAGTCAGAGCTCTATCTCTCCGTCTCATGACGTTAAACGAATTTGAACATTCTCTTGCAGGAGTCTCAGCTTCCTCCTCAAGTCCACATTCCTCTGGTTGTCCAGAAAAGCTTTGGATTGATTCTGGACCATGTGTGATTCCAGCTGTTTAGGTTGTTTCTGGACTTTGTCCTCAAGAGGTTTCAAATTTTCCTGTCCAGGTTTGGTTTTCCTTTTCCTGATGATTATTTCTCTATCTTTGCTTTTCGAACCCGGTGCGTCTCAGATCGGTTGCGGTTCAAATTTGGATGATACGTGAATTAGTTCTAGATTTCTTCTAGCTGTCCTGGTTTGTTCCTGGATTAGTTTGGATCTTAACTGTTGTGAGATCAGATTGACTTGTGGTTCTAGGTTTGCTTTGCGGTTTGGTTTTGGCTAAATTGTAAACTCTTTCAGGATCTAGTTATCGTATTCTGCTTTCCAATCAGGACAGACTTTCATGATGGCATCATCATCATCATCTTCAATGTTTTAGCTCCAGTAAAATCAAGTGTTCTCTCCTTCCACCTCAGCACTAAGCTCCTCCCCTTCTTCCTCCACGCTCTCCACGATTGGCTGATGGATCAAAGGCTCCTCCCCTCTGCCGGCTCTCGATAGGACGTCCATCCATCTGCGCTGTAGCTCCTCCCCCTCTGCGCTGAAGTAAAGAGTCAGGTGACTCTGGGAAATCTTGAAGGCGTGTCGCCGTTCCAGGCGATCACATGACTCAGGCTGAGAGACCTCAAAGCCAATCAGAGGGATGCTACGCTGCGCCTTGACATCCTGTGGAAAACAAGAACATGATGAGTTCTGATCTCGGCTGGACTTGAAATAATGATGTAGATCAGGTCGGCCTCCCAAAAAAACAGCCCATAACACCCTCCTCTCCCTTAACCTGACTCCGCCAGATGGATTTGCTCCGCATATCCATCTGGAAACCTTCCGTTGAAGTAATTTTGGGAAGGGGCGAAAATACTGGTTAGCTGATTGGCCTATGTTGGTGATAGACGGGCCAAATAAACCAATCAGATCAACGAAGCATATGACGTACTAACAGAGCGACGACGAAGAGGAGCCAATTGATAGATCAAACTCTTGCCGAAACCAGTCGGGAGAAGAGCAAAAACATCTTTTCCTCTGAGAAAAGCCTCCAGAGCAGTGTTTTGCTCTTCTTTCAGTGAAGAAATACTCTGTAATTCCGATAAAACTTGCTCGATAGCCACGCTAACGCTAGTTAGCGGCTAAAGCCGCCATGTTCCTTAGACTGAACTGTCGCGCTTCTCGTCGCACCTCAACCCGCCTCAAAGCCAACGCTGATTGGACGTTCGTTTGGTGAACGGCTCCAAATTTTCTTCAACGGAGAGTCTCCAGACTGATCTGCGAGTGAAACCTTGAAAGCTCGCGAGATCAGGATGGTCTCACGAGGCTACCTCTCACTGCCTGCAAAGAAAAACAGCCCACCTTTTTTAATAGCCGGGCTGTTCCTGTAATGCTTACAGTAGCCTGTAGGGGGCCCCAGAAGGGTTCCCTTGGTCCTCCTCAGCAGGTTCATTCATGCATGTAACAAAACGAGATGGAGGTAAAGGGAAGCGTCACCTGTGGAGCGCCGTAGATGTAGAGCACCAGCGGCTCGTTTTCAGGGATGACGCACCACGCCTTCTGCCAGCCGCGTCCCCCTCCTTTCTCCATGTGGTGAAGAAAACTACAAATCACACTGTTCTCTGCTGCCAGCGAGGCCTGTTTCTGCAGCACCAAAACAAGAGGCAATCAATTATCCCAAGGAAAAGGAGAGAGGACAGTACCGGTGATGTCACACTGACCTCCAGGATGGAGCGCCTCCTCTGAGTGCTGCTGCTCAGTCCTCCTGGCGAAGGCGAGACTCCCACCAGAGTGATATAGCAGTCTACACAAACACGGTTGGTCCGGTTGTTGTCGTACGACAAACGAGCGCGAAACTCGGAGCATTTTCCACAAACCACCTGGAAGGCATAGGACAAAGGGTCAGAGACGCGTCAGGCTTCAGACGGCGAGCGATGACGGTGGACGTACGTGTCCGCAGGCTTTGCAGTGGTGCCGTCTCTTGGTGATGGAGTTGAACGGCTCCTGACACTTCATGCACAGAGTTACTTCCTTCTCTCTGATCGGGGTTGGAGCTCGTTTTCCCAACTCCACACAACTCTGAAACAGAAGCACAGGGAGTTACGGCCAGGCCTCAGAAGGCCGCAGGACCACAGGGGAACAGCAGGGGGAGTGCTGTGTTACCGGGGAGTGAGGCGGGGTGGACTCATCATCACGCAGCGAACAGGTCAGGTATCTGAAGCTCTCCATCGTCTGCTCGTGGCGCTGAATGGTGGCCTGGATAGCCTGAAAGTGGAAAAAAAAAAACACAAAAGAAAATTTATTCCATTATTTTCTATATTTATCTCCTTAATATTGTTCTTTTTTTATTTGAATACATCATTGGTTGCCTTGGTATCCCTTTTGTGTGTTTTGAGCTTCTGTATGCTTTCTAGTTGCTTCACTGCAGCGACATTTACAAGAGAACATCGTCTGAACATCAGGGATTCATCTCTGGGGAATTAATCTCTAGTCCTCAGAGATCTGCAGAGTTTTAATTGGGATCCTGATGGCTAATTGTGCCAAAGACGATGCTTTCATAGTGGGGATCAGGACTTTTACAAGGAGAGAAGAAACAACATTCCAAAAGGAGACCAATTTTGCAAAAAGACAATAAAGGGAGCGAAAAAAAAAAAACAGAGTCCCTCGTCTGCCTGCTTCTGCCCATCAACCGGTTCAGCAGCCTTCGTGGTTTCGGCACCTAGACCTCTCTGGCCGGCGTCCGCCGCATGCTGTGGGATATCATCCAGCTGGATTCAGCTCCTTCTTCTGGGCTCGGACTGAACTTTATAACCAGGTTAGCAACCGACACGCTCGTAATCGTCCTCCATCAGATTTACGAGGTCACTAACCCGAGTTTTCCCCTCTACAGAGGTTCCAGCCTTTTTCATCCTAGCTGCTGAGTCGCATATTTTACGTGTTGTCAATAAACGCTTTAGTAAATGACATCAGTCTGTCTGCTTGAAATATCTGCTTATATCCTCATGTATAACCTTAAATGGGTAAACCTGTCATTAATGAATGTGATGGAAATCTGTCTAAATTAAATAAATAGTAAAAAAAAAAAGATAAGAGGAGGATGATGATGATCAGGCCCTCCAGCATCTGAGGGAGAAAATAGCTCCAAGACACCTGTGCTGGGAAACAGGAATCCGTCCTACATACCTACATAAGCAGCTAAAGGTCCACTCCTGTTCTGAAAACTGATCTATAATCCTAATCACCTTGCTGGCATTTTACATACCAGAGTTGTTTTTGTACTTCTATTTAAGTCATTATTTGGGCGTACACACTTGTAAACAACATTCTAATAACATTCTCCAGATTTATCCAGAATAATTTTCAGGGTATCAGATCTTTTATTGGCATTTTTCAGATAAACTGTAAATATTTTTTATTTTGCATGTTGCCACGGCAATTCAGGCATCTACATAGGATTAAACTTCTAGGAACAGTTTTTATTTCATGTTTTATGAGAGGGCTTGAACCAGAGCTGCTACCCGTCAATCACTGATGTAGGATTTGGGTTCCTCAAGTTGTCATGAAGACTTTCTGTTTAATCCTGGAAGCTTTTTTTAGTGTCTGAAAGCTTTAGGTTTCAGAAACAACCGATATTTGTTTTCATTAGCGACCAGACTGTTTTAAGAGACTGCTCAAAAGCAACAGAACCTGTGTGAACTCACCTGGATCCAGTCCTTCTTCTCCTCCTCGGTCCTGCAGAAACGCAAACACAAGGTCAACCCATCTTCATAGAAACTATGGAATCCAGTTATGTTCCATAGCTTTTATCATTAGCATATATGTCTGTTAGCATCTTCAGTATTTAGCATCGGTAGCATCTGGTGTCATTGGCATCTGCAGAATGACTGCCACTTGTTCCTTAAAATACAGAATCCTCTTTTATTTAGTAGTTAAAAGTTGCATCCCTAATTGAACCAACAAGGAAAGCAATTTATCCCATATTTTCATAAATGTTTGATTCACACATCTGTCACACACACTAAATCTAACAAACGTTAACCAAAGACAAAGGAGAAACTATCAAAGCCAACTAAAGTGTCTTGCTTCTAAGCAGGACCCCCTCTGCTTCTCGTCAGCTGCTGTCATGGTTGCCAGGAGACGGACTCCCATTGACCTCCACTGCTCTCTGTCACCAGCAGACTCTCCACCATTGTTAAACTGAAGAGAAAAACATCCAAAGACTAGCCAAGGACCATCCAAAGACCATCCAAGGACCAGCCAAGGACCAGCGAAAGACCATCCAAGGTACAACCAAGGAACATCCAAAGACTAGCCAAGGACAATCCAAGGACCATCCAAAGACCAGCCAAGGACCAGCGAAAGACCATCCAAGGACCAGCCAAGGACCATCCAAAGACTAACCAAGGACCAGCCAAGGACCATCCAAAGACCATCCAAGGACCATCCAAAGACCATCCAAAGACCAGTAAAGGACCAGCCAAAGAGATCCAAGGACCATCCGAGGACCAGCCAAAGACCATCCAAGGACCATCCGAGGACCAGCCAAAGACCATCCAAAGACCAGTAAAGGACCAGCCAAAGAGATCCAAGGACCATCCGAGGACCAGCCAAGGACCAGCCAAAGACCATCCAAGGACCATCCGAGGACCAGCCAAGGACCAGCGAAAGACTAGCCAAGGACCATCCAAGGACAAGCCAAGGACCAGCCAAAGACCATCCAAGGACCAGCAAAAGACCAGCCAAGGACCAGCGAAAGACTAGCCAAGGACCATCCAAAGACCATCCAAGGACCAGCCAAAGACCAGCCAAGGACCAGTGAAAGACTAGCCAAGGACCATCTAAGGACAAGCCAAGGACCAGCAAAGGACCATCCACAGACCAGCCAAAGACCAGCCAAGGACCATCCAAGGACCAGCCAAAGCTTAGCCAATAACCATCCAAAGACCATCCAAGGACCAGCCAAAGATCAGCCAAGGACCAGTGAAAGACTAGCCAATAACCATCCAAAGACCATCCAAGGACCAGCCAAGGACCATCCAAGGACCAGCCAAAGCTTAGCCAATAACCATCCAAAGACCATCCAAGGACAAGCCAAGGACCATCCAAAGACCAGCCAAGGACCAGCCAAGGAACAGCCAAAGACTAGCCAAGGACCATCCAAGGACCATCCAAGGACCAGCCAAAGACTAGCCAAGAACAATCCAAAGACCATCCAAGGACCAGCCAAGGACCATCCAAAGACCAGCCAAGGACCAGCCAAGGAACAGCCAAGGACCAGCCAAAGACTAGCCAAGAACCATCCAAGGACCAACCAAGGACCATCCAAAGACCAGCCAAGGACCAGCCAAGGAACAGCCAAAGACCAGTCAAAGACTAGCCAAGGACCATCCAAGGACCAGCCAAAGACTAGCCAAGTACCATCCAAGGACCAACCAAGGCCCAGCCAAGGACCATATAAAGACCAGCCAAGGAAAGTGGGGAAATATTGAATGGCTATGACTGTAGTAGCTGAAGGTGTAGTTGCACTAACCTGGCCTGCAGCTCCAAAGATCTCTGCTTCCCAGACACAAGGAACGTCCTGCAGGGAACAGCAACGCCGCTCGTCTCCTTCAGCTGTGGACAGAAACACTCGTTGTCAGTTGAACCGACCAAAACTCTTCCAGGTCGGTGCGATCAGGAATGTTCCTGCTGGCTCATGGCGAGTCGTTCTGAGCACGCTCAGAATCAAACCTCTATTTGAGCTTTTCTGGCTGCAGGAGGAGCTACAGGTTCTGGCCTCTATCAGTTTGTTCTGTTTGGACCTGCAGGTGGTTCCGATTCTGGTGCTCTAAGCGCCATTAACCGGCCTTCATCTAAGAATCAAAGCAGAGCCGCCAGCAGGGGGCGCTGGGTCTCACCTCCATGCCTTCCACGTCGATGCGAGCTCGGACGCTGTACTTCTGGCCAATCAGACGCAGCTTTGGGACACAGTAGAGCAGTCTGTCGTTAAACTGAAGAGAAAAACAGGTGAGTCGTCAGTACCTGAAGACTGGACCATCTGGGTGAGCCAAACAGAACCAACAGTACCAGGATCAGGTATCGGTCCTGCGTGGTGCCGTTCTTATTGGACAGTTTGAGGATGTGTCCTTCTTTGATGAGCTCATTAGTCGGGTTAACGATGTCCTCCTCTCCTCCCAGAAGCTCGTACACCTTCAACAACTTCCTCATTCGCTCCTGGGAAAAAAGACAGGAAGCTGTAGTCAAAGAGCCACCATTTCCATTTGGGTTCACCAGAACCCAGCGGGGATGAGTAATTCAAGAGCACACCTCCAGGAACGACAACAGAACTCTTCATCAGACCTTTTTAAAACAGACCAGGTGATCAACCCCTCAGAGTAGCAAATATTCAACAGACGAGCGAGTATTCCCCGATGGTGGTTTGGACACATTTAGGGCCTGACTTTCAGAAGGGCGACACGTTTTAAAACAGGTATGCTGCTGGTAGGAAGATGTTCTTTTACAGGCTTTGCATGAAGCACAGTTTCTCCAAAGAACCATAAAAACAATCCACTGGACTTTGTTTCCAAGTTTGAAGACGTTTCTCTTCCATCCAGGAAGATTTTTCAATTCAAAATGTCAGAAATAGCGTTTAGTTCCAGGTTTTATCCAGCAGCCCAACAAAGCCTTGATTTTGTTTAGACAAATAGAAACGGATGAACGGGTCCCCCCCTTTGAATTAGATATTTTGAATTGAAAAAGCTTCCTGGGTGGGAAGCAAAACATCTTCAAACTTGAAAACAAAGTCCAGAGGATTGTTTTTTTTTACTTTTTTTGGAATGACTATGAACTGGATGACTGAGAATCTTCACCAGCATAGCTGATCATTTGTTTCCAGGAACTAGTCTATGCCTAAAACATTGTTGGAAGGAAGAAGGAATTATTGGATCTATTGTTTGCGGAAATTAATCTGTGTCAGATTAAGGTGAATAAGAGGGACTAGTTTTTTGTTTTTTCGCAGGAATATATTCGTAATTAGTCGGTTGCTTGCAGAAATTAGTCTGGCCCAACCACCCTTTTTTTTTTGCAGGAATCAGTGTTTATCTGGTCCTTTATTTGGGCCACTGTATAAAACCTGGAACTCGACACTATTTCTGACATTTTGAACTGAAAAATCTTCCTGGATGGAAGAGAAACGTCTTCAAACTTGGAAACAAAGTCCAGTGGATTGATTCTTTAAGGTTTTTGTTACAGGTCATGATTCATGTTCTCCACCCAGTTTTTCCCGCACCCCTGATTTGGGTGCGTAGTTCTGTGCAGGGGTCTCTACCACCCACCCATCCAATTACCACCATTACAAAATGTGGGCTGGTACCACCATGACTCTGCAGGACTCATTGGGTCGCATGGTTCTGACCGGACTGTGTTTTCTTACCATCTTCCTGATGGCGGCGTTGGAGTGTTCTGCGGCCGTGGCGATCAGCTCCAGAGACTCTGCAGAAAAACATGAGATGTTTGATGACATCATTCGTCTTCGGTTTCCTGTAGCACCTATTTGGGAAACAGCGCCCCCTACAGGGGAGGTTCCCCCCACGTTACAAGCAGCCAAACCAGCAGTATCAATCAGTCAACTGACAGCCCTGAAAGGGCGGGCCAATGATTGGCTAAGGGTGGACCATCCCTGGCCCCCTCTAGCTCCGTCCCTTGGTTTAAGAAACCTGTAGAAGGTTTTTAGAAACAGAAAATGTTCTAAAGAAACTGGAACAGAAAGCAAAAAAACTTTTTCCAACATCCCTAGGAGCAGTTTTGTTTTAGTCAACGATGACGAAATTATTTCATTGATGCTCCTTTTTTCCTGACGCAGCTTTGCTGCTCCAGCTGTGCGTCAGATCGTTTCACATTTTTTTCATCTGTTATCATCAGTCCATCAGGCTGCATTCCAGAAAAGGTTCTTCATTTCTACGGCGTTAACGTTTACAAAGAACTGTTTTTGTTTATTTATTTTGGAATAAATAAACTCCGAAAAACTTCTCAATCAAAAAATATTTGCTGTTTTCTTAGATTTTATTTTTTCCCATTTGATCTTTTTTTATTACGTTTTTTTTAATGTATGTTTCTCAAAAGTTCAGTAATATTTCTGTGTGTTTGTACAGACGGATGTTTGGGGTGTTTGTTTTCATACTCTGGGCGTCCCTGCGGTCCGGGGCGTCCTCAGGCAGCCGGTTCAGGTAGTCTTTGAGCAGAAGCTCGTAGCGGGGGATCCTCTGGACCGGCTCCAGCATGTGGTGCTGCAGGGTCAGGTTCCCGCAGCGCTCCTCCCTCTGCACAGACGCCACAAACCCAACATGAGCTGGGAACCACAGCGGATCGCTGGAAACAGACCCAGACAGAGAACCGTACCTGGATCTCCTGAATGATGGCCTTGAACTGAGTGGACCTCTCCATCCAGATGTTCACCAGCTCCATGGCTCGGTCAAAGTTCTTCACATACTCTCCGTACATCTTCAGGAAAGGAGCCAGCTTCTGGAGGATGTCTCCGATCCGCGGGTTTGAGTCCCTGCAGCCAATCAAAGATTTGACATCAGAGCAGAGGCGTGGGGCAGAGGAGGAGGGGCGGAGGTGGGACCAGGTGCTCACCACTCCTCCATGCGCTTCTGCAGTGCAGGCAGCAGGAACTGCTGGTGGAAGCAGTAGATGGAGCAGATGTTGGAGAAGATCCCCTGGACCACGTCGCACGGGAAGGAGGAACGGGACCGCGCCTCCTCCAGGAGTCTGGCACAGAAGACCTGCAGGAGGAGGCGGTGTTAGAGGCTGCGTGGTTCTAGATCATCAGGGGGCGGGGCTCCTGCATCACTCACCTGGTCCAGCAGGTGGAGCTTTGACACGTAGGCGATCTCTGTGAGCAGCAGCTCGTTAGCGATGTTGAAGACCCTCTGATGGACAGACAGCTTGACACAGAGACAAGGTTCAGGTTCTGCTGCTCTGATCCCGTCTTTACCCTCTAAACCTGTCTTACCTCCACAGAGTCCTGTCTGTCTGTTTTGGGCGGGACCAGCACCATGGTTAGCTCCGCCTCCTCCTCCAGGTCGCTATCTCCCTCCTCGGAAAACTCCCTCCTCCTCCTCTCCCCTCCCCTGGCCACCCTCTCCTCCCCCTCCCCAGTGGTAGAGGAGGAGCTGGAGAGGCGGGGCAGGAGGGCGGGGCTGCATGGATAGGCCACGCCCCCATCGTCCACGCTGGCGAAGCAGAGCTCCTCGCTGTGAGACGGTGAGCTGATGCTGTCAATGCCGCTGTCTCGGTTCGCCAGCTTCCCGTCCGTCTGGGAGGAGGGGAGGGACAGACGCTCAGAGGGCAGCTCTGATTGGTCGAGGAGTATCTGTGGCTGCTGGTCATCCGTTTCCACGGTGACCACATCATCGTCAAGGTTCTTCTCAGAGGCGCTGTAACCTGACTCCATGGACAGGCGCTTCTGATGGACATCGTCACGACACGCTGCCACAAGCTCTTCATCCTCCTCATCATCATCATCCTCATTATCCTCATCTTCATCACACAGCTCGCCATCCCCACCGCCTGCAGGGTCCCTATCTGGCTCCACCCCCTCGGGTCGGGAGGGGGCGGGCGAGGCAGACGATAGAGGGGATGAAGATCGGGAGCTGGGGGGGTCCAGGGGGCGGGGACACAGAGCCCCCCCGGTGATGTCAGGAACCACGATGATCTGCTCTCTGGAAAACAAAGCAGACATGAACAATGGAGAACAGTGATGACATCACTTCCTCCTGACCAACCACAACTTACCGCTCAAATTTCTCTATGAGCGACAGGACGCAGGTGGGGGAGGCGGTGCCATCGGTCCTAGTGGAAGGTGTCCAACCACCCCGGGGGTCTGTGGGGAGAGGTCTGCAGGGGGCAGGAGGCGGTGGGGGCTTCTCTTGGATTCGGGGGCGTGGCCTGATCAGTCCAGCCTGCTGTTGGAGGTGGGGGGGCTTCGGGGGGACTTTTTTGGGGTGTGGGGGGGGGGTCATAGATTAGCATTGTTTCCACTTATGAGAAATGAAAGGTAGACGCGGTGTGAGGTGCTCACCCTGAGGTTTAGGTCCCGGCAGCGGTGGGCGGACCCGGTTCGGTGCCGTTACCGTGGCAGCTGGCAGTTCTGGTGGACCCGTGTCGTTCACAGAAACACAGCAATCCACTGGCTCCGCACCTTCCTCCAAAGACCCGGACCCCGGTTCAGAGTCAGACTGTGGAGTGTCACCATCCAGCACCCCCTGGTGGCCACAAGGAGAGCAGGACGGCTCCAGAGAGAGGCCCTTAGCCAGCAGGCTGGGGCTGGTGGAAGAGGCGGGGCCTGAGAGGGATGGGGAGGATAGAGGTCAGACCACAGGCCTCATTTCATGCTGATATTATATTTAATGAAATAAAACATAAAGATTTCATTCATTTCTTCCCATAAACCTGCAGTTCTCTGCTGCATCTTCAAAGAGTTATGCTCTCAATGACCTACAGGGGGCGTTTTCTACATCGGTTCCAACAGCTTCACCAAAAACCTCAGGTCCAAATGGGTGGAGTGGGTTCTGGAGCAACATCTCCACTAATCCCAGATGAATTACCATCTCCTAATAGAATCTGTTAGGATTTAAAAACTGTCTCACTAAATCGTCTTTAAGGGGTGAAGCAGAAAAATAAAGTCATAAAACCAAGTGCAGCCTGTTTATAGAGCAGCTCTAATGGTTCCCAGTAAAACAGACATCTGTGACCCAGTAAGGGTCGGACTGATCCAGCCAATTAACGGAGCTCCAGCTACCGAGGAGAAATTCATTATGGGAAAATGTGTCCAGTGGCTCTGTGAGCAGCAACATCTCGGCAGCTTCCTGCAGCAGAGCCTGGGCCAAACAGGAAGTGTGTGTGTGGAGGGGGGTGGGGGGGTGGGGTGGTTCAAACGTGAACTTGTTGGGAGGTCATGAGAAAGCCAGTGCGGAATGATCTAGAACAGATGTTGTTCTGCTGCTAAATACTCACAGGAATTCAGAACATTAGTGAAAAAAACTTCTAACCAAACTACATTACCCACAATCCTCCAACAGCATCATGGATCAGCCAAATATTCTGATTCAAAGATTCTAAATGTTCATCACCTGCTTCTGTTCAGCACCAACAAGCACAAACAGAAAGGTTATCTATACTGTTCTCTGTCTAGATGTGGTTCTGAGAGTTTAAGATTTCTGGATTACCGGGAAGGATCCAACGTTCCGGATCACTGAGAAGGATCTAACGTTCCGAATCACTGGGAAGGATCTAACGTTCCAGATCACTTGGAAGGTTGTAATATTAGGGATCCATTAGAAGGTTCTAACGTTCCGGATCACTGAGAAGGTTCTAACGTTCCAGATCACTGAGAAGGATCTAACGTTCCGGATCACTGGAAAGGATCTAATGTTCCAAATCACTAGGAAGGTTCTAACGTTCCGCATCACTGAGAAGGATCTAACGTTCCGAATCACTGAGAAGGATCTAACGTTCCGAATCACTGGGAAGGATCTAACGTTCCGAATCACTGGGAAGGATCTAACGTTCCGAATCACTGGGAAGGATCTAACGTTCCGAATCACTGAGAAGGATCTAACGTTCCGAATCACTGAGAAGGATCTAACGTTCCGAATCACTGAGAAGGATCTAACGTTCCGAATCACTGAGAAGGATCTAACGTTCCGAATCACTGGGAAGGATCTAACGTTCCGAATCACTGAGAAGGATCTAACGTTCCGAATCACTGGGAAGGATCTAACGTTCCGAATCACTGAGAAGGATCTAACGTTCCGAATCACTGAGAAGGATCTAACGTTCCGAATCACTGAGAAGGATCTAACGTTCCGAATCACTGGGAAGGATCTAACGTTCCGAATCACTTGGAAGGTTGTAATATTAGGGATCCATTAGAAGGTTCTAACGTTCCGGATCACTGAGAAGGTTCTAACGTTCCGGATCACTGGAAAGGATCTAATGTTCCAAATCACTAGGAAGGTTCTAACGTTCCGCATCACTGAGAAGGATCTAACGTTCTGAATCACTGGGAAGGATCTAACGTTCCGAATCACTGGGAAGGATCTAACGTTCCGAATCACTGAGAAGGATCTAACGTTCCGAATCACTGGGAAGGATCTAACGTTCCGAATCACTGAGAAGGATCTAACGTTCCGAATCACTGGGAAGGATCTAACGTTCCGAATCACTGAGAAGGATCTAACGTTCCGGATCACTGGAAAGGATCTAACGTTCCGAATCACTGGGAAGGTTCTAACGTTCCGGATCACTGGGAAGGATCTAACGTTCCGGATCACTGAGAAGGATCTAACGTTCCGAATCACTGGGAAGGTTCTAACGTTCCGGATCACTGAGAAGGATCTAATGTTCCGAATCACTGGGAAGGATCTAATGTTCCGGATCACTGGGAAGGATCTAACGCTCCGGATCACTGGTAAGGTTCTAACGTTCCGGATCACTGGGAAGGTTCTAACAGTCCGGACCTTCTATAGGTGTGTTAAGCTGTTCTACAACACTAAATATGTTCTCTTTATAGTATAATAAAGTAGTTGGACACATTCTAATGGTCTATAAAAAAATTTCTAGATCACCGAATATGTTCTATTAGTTCATTTAAGATGTTCTAGATTAATAAATATGTCCTATTGGTTTTAAGATGTTCTATTGGTTTGGTGAAAATGTTCTAGATCACTAAATGTGTCCTAGTGTTTTATTTAGGATGTTCTAGATTGTGAAATTCAATCCATAATTTTATAAAATGTTCTAGATCATCTGAATGCTTTTTATTGATTTATTTAGTATGTTAATCATACACATATGTCCTATCTTTGTATTTAAGATGTTCTAATTACTAATGTTCCCCACATGTTCCCTGTTGGTCCATCTAGACACCCTGTCTACTTTTAAGGCTAGGCTTAAAACTTTCCTTTTTGATAAAGCTTCTAGTTAGAGTGGCTCAGGTTATCCTGAGCTATCTCTATAGTTCTGCTGCTATAGGCTTAGACTGCTGGAGGACATAGGGACCCCTTTTTCATCATTCTGCTTCATTCTATCTCTATTCTCCCACTCTGCAGAATCTGTTAGTTCAATCTCTAACGTTCTGCTCTCTCTGCTTTTTCTCATAGTAGCTTCATCTGGTCTGTTCCTGTTTGGCTGTGACTCCATCCTGGAGAGAAATATCAGCTGTGCTGCTGCCATCAACACCTTTGTTTCTAGATGTTGGAGCTTGGCCTGTTTTCCAGTGTAGTCCTGTTTCTCTGACTGTGACTAACTGGATGTGCTCTCTTCATCCTCTGACATGGGAGCTGGCTCGGAGCTCGTCTGCCTGGCTGTGTGTTTCCTGGACGGGGCCGCCTGTGGAGCTGGTTGACAGTTGCCTTTTGTATCTATGCTTCTTTTTCTATGTCTGCTTCTGTCTCCTTGAACCCCAGTGGGCCTCAGCAGATGGCCGCTCACACTGAGCCTGGTTCTGCTGGAGGTTTCTTCCTGTTCAAAGGGAGTTTTTCCTCTCCACTGTCGCTACAAGCATGCTTAGTGTGAGGGATTGCTATAGAAATAAACTGAATAGAATCTTTTTTCTGATAAGCTACTTTCGATCTAATGATCTAGATGAGGACTTATGTTCTAGCTAAGGGGTTTATCAACGTTTTCCAGGCCAAGGACCCCCAAAATGATGGAGATGGAGCAGGGACAAGGTTCAAGGATCAAACTGGTCCTATAGTCCCTCTATTACAGATGGAGTAATGTAACTAGAGTAATCCCTCCCTTGGATTATTAAAGTATTTCTGATTCCTGGTTGATGGTACAGGTGTTGTGAATGAAACGGTGTCCAGCTTGAAAGAGCTCCTGTGTGTCTCTGAATGTGAGCATTGATGACTGAAAGACATCTTCTGCCTCCATTTATCTGTTTACTACAGTCTGTTGGATTCATGTTAATGTGGATTTAAAGACATTTCAATTAGTGGAAAAAATTGCAGTGGGGATATAAAAAAAAAAAATCAACCAAAACTTTCGTGACCCCCATGCAGTATCTCTGTGTACCCCCTATGGGTCACGGACCCCCTGTTGAAGACCTCAGTTCTAGTACATGTTGAGAACCTGGTCCTGAAAGGAGTGACCTCCATTTTGGTCAAATAAATTCATTCCTTCCTACTGATTCCTGCTCTTTAAAGGTTCTGTTTGGAACCATGATGAGGAACCTTCTCCGTTTCCTGATCTTCTTCCTACTGGTGGCGGATCTAGAAGTTCTCCTCAGACCGAAGGTGCATGTTAGGAAGACTCCCTTTAATCTGACCCAGACCCGACCCGGTTTGTCTTTAGAACAGGACTCCTTGGTGGTAAAGAAGGGCCGCCGGTCAGGAAAAACAGGAAGAACCAGGAATCTGCTGCATGGAGCAGGTTCTGGACAAAAACCCTCAAGGAAAGGGTTCTGCAGGTTCCCTCTGCAGATCCATCACCCTGTTTCAAACGTGATTCTGTGTGGAGGTTGAATCACTGAATGGATCATAATGTTGGGTTTATCAGAACCTGCAGGCTCGGTTCTGCTGACAGCCTCCCCCCCCTTGCTGGTCCAATCAGGAGGGTCTCTCTGATGCTATGAAGCCTACGTGCCTGCACTGCTGTCATACATGTGCGGCCGCGCTCATGCACACGCGGGCTCGGTTCGGCCGCCAGGGGATGGATTCGGACAGACAGCAGCTCATCGATCCGATCGATACCGTTCATCAGCAGGAGGGTCACGTGACTGCGGCGGGGCCTGTGCCACATCTGGCGCGCGCAGCCACGGTAGCCCACTTCCACTGCGGGGATGTCGGTCAGTGTGTGCGCGTGCACCGCAGCATGGAAAAATAGGACACGCGCACGCCGCAGCTGGCCAACGCACGCGCGGCCCCATGTAGAATTTGTCAGCGCTCACGCGCGCATCGCCCGTGCTCGTGCGCGCGCGGTGCAGATGCGGACTCACCTCTGCTCAGGCTGCTTCGGTCCATGTACATCGCGCAGCAGAACACGAATCCGGTCATTAAAGAGACGTTGGTGCGCGGGGAGAGCGGCTCCCCCGGTCCACAGCAGAACAACCCGGCTCCCACACGGACCGGTTCCGACGGTCCGAACCGACAGGGTGCCGCTTCAGGATCAGGCGCTGGATCCGCGCGTTGGTTCTGCCCGGTGCGCGTGCGGCGGCGACGGAGGCGGCGCAGAGGGAGGGGGCGGGGATGCTCTCCCTCACTCTCTCTTCCTCTTCGGTTTCCATGACAACAAATTAAAAGGTGACAGGTGATCACGTGGTGCCAGCCGGCGGAAACATTT